TAGCCTAAATCCGTGCCGTCAGGAAACCTGAGGGAGAGTGGCCCGCCGCCAGACAAGTGGATGTTAAGGGTTTGAACATGTTGGTTATTCTCTTTAAGTGCTAGTATTTTAGTTTCTAGTTCTTGGCCTTTTCCTACCAATTTAACCTTCTCATGGACGAGCTGGGTATACGTTAATCTCAGATTGCTTGTGCAGGGGATTTTGACCAACCATTCCATAGCAGATCTGCTCTTCGTGTCCACTGGACGCGGCATCCACCATCGAAACATCGACGTTACCCGCTGGCCCATCGATAAATTCGACCCCAGACGTTGATGCCATGGATGTACCACTCAACCCTACCTCATCAGGCACCGGCTGCAAGAAGGGGGTTTGATCAAAGGAAATGGCGTCTAGGCCCGGAATAGACGCAAGCTGATTTACAAACATCATGTCCTGGTCACCGAAGGAATGGTTGACCGACATATCTGTTGGATAGATCATCGGGTCGAGGTGGTCCTCTGTTGGGTTCAGAGCCCTAGTCTTATCAACAGTGAACTACGATAAGGTAGTGTGGCCATCGACTACCAGTCAACAGGCTCTTCGAGCCTCGGACGGACGCGCCGCATAGGATCTGTCCATTCGTCTCCAGCGTCATTGTCCGTCGGGTTGAGAAGTCGTCTGAGTGACATCTTCGTCGCTTGCTCAATCAAAACGTCTGCGGTGATGGAATCTGAGTCCCATGAATTTTTTGGTTGGATTGACCAGCGACTGAGTTATAATAAGCGGAAAGAAAAGCAGGTCTGTATCTCTGGGGGGGGGGGGGAGGCACTGGTCTCACTGCTGAAGACGAGGCTGAACTAGGGTTGTGTCGTAGGGCTTAGATAAGCCCAACTGCCCCTCCCAACGTCCCCTCCAGAGTGCTAAAAGTGCAGTGCTTGAGCCGCAAGGATGTAAAACCCACGTGGGTCCGACGTGTTCTAGGCTCTAAGACTGCAGTACTCTGGCCTTATGATGAGGCGACACGTGGTTGCCCAGGCGAGGCTGACCCTGGGAGCTCTCAAGCCCTCCAGCGCGCTAAACCTACAGTGACAACCCTTGTCGGAGTAGGGGCCTAGGAGGTTGTGCATTTGCAATCAACCCTGAATTGAGCTAAGAGTTGCAGTGCTGCCTTATGGGTACTGGTTGTCAGGTGACACACTCAGTCTCTTTTAGCGCCATGAAGACATCGAATCATAACCCATGCCTCTCTATCCCATTCAACTTTAGTTCGTTGGGGAAGAGCTATTGGCAAATTGCTAGTGGGGGCCCCATAAGTGGTACTGCACGTTTAGAATCGAGAGATAATAGGATCATATAAATCCCCTGCATCCCAATCCAGTATACCTGAAGAATAGCATAGAGCGTGTGCATTCAAATTCCAATCAAAGCTTGCGGTAAGACAACTAACTATCACCTCTGAGTTTTGTATTCTAGTCGAAGAAGGCAAGCACAATGTAGTGACACGCACAATGGCTTTGGCATTTAGATTACATGTTAAGACAGTGGTATAACATCTGATAAAGCGACATTGCTGTCTCTACAGCTTCAATTGAATAGTACTTAGATAATGACATGGTTTACAGATAAAGTTGCATCGCTATTGCCTCTCATCCACCCCAATTCTGGTACTGTGGGACGCGACGTCATTATAGTCATTGCCAAACAAATAAACATGACCAAACATATGAATGAGGTCGCTTAATAATATAGTCCGTAATGCGATGTTAGGAGATAGTTGTTTAGCTGGCATGACTTCCAGGAGATGAGATGCTTCACAATACTTCTAAGTGAGCTAGCTTCGCAAGCTTAACAACAGAGTAAACTAGAGACCATGATGAGCAGCTCTAGTATGTTCAAATGCGTCTAGTATCCTTTTCTTTGATTCAACGAGACCCATTCCAGCCTCACATCCCTACATAAATCAGCCCTAACTTCCTCTTCAGTAGCCCATAGATGAGCCTTGTGCTGCTTAGGATCGATCGTTACTTCCAACTGTTCTTAATCTGAGTCATCAGCTACCACCCGGAAAATGAATATCTTCCAATTCCCCCTCCCACGAAGGTCACTCAGCCCAGAATTACTGTCAAGCCACTCAAACTCCCCCAGCATAGCCGTGACAGCCGATGCGTTGGAGGCCAGTTTCCTCCTCGAGCCCGCGCACAGCGCAATCAAGGATTGTTTCGTCATCGTTTGCCCCGCCCCTAGGCACTTCCCATGCATTGGGAAAGTCGTCGTCGGCAATACGTTGTATAAGCAATACTCGACCTCTGTGAATAAATTACAGATGCGCCGAGGACATGGTCAGAGGCGTTTTGTGATTTGTAGGTGTTGATAGGGATTTTGTAGGGCTCTAGTATTGATGAGGCATGGTATGGGTGTATTGATTGTTGAGTGGGCAGTGAGGCTGTGATTTTGATTGTGCGAGTTCCTGGCAAGAATTCAATTCGTATATTCACTTTGGAATTGAGTTGAGGTCTGTTGTCGTTGAATGTTTATATTCAAATGGGTCTCTCCGTTGGACATTGATTGACTCATACTCGTTAGGGACAAACTCTGGATTGTCTTGGATAAACCTAGGAGTTCTACTTTAGCGAGCTAGCTCTTATTAAAGCACATTAATCTATGTAGTACAACTCTACGGCTTCTTATTGAGAGGAAAATGCTGTCGCCTATTGATTGTTGGTAGGATGTGCATAATTCCATTGGCTAAGCGGTCGTCAGAGGGGCTGAGCTGCTGGAGTATGGGAGTAACTGTCAAGTTCTAAATCTGGAGGAGACCGAAGAAAAATCTCGCTGCTGGTGATCGTAGCTTATATCTGTACGGTCACACAATACAAGGGAGCACGCGTCGTGAGAAAATGTATTAGCCTACTTCGATACCAGGGCCTCGCTACTGATCTAGAACTTTAAACCCAATGAAAACAAGTATTCGAGTAAATTGACTACCGAAATCCTTAAGCTATCATAATCCAAAGAGCGACATGAGCTTCTCAGTACATTCGTACTAGTTGATACCATCGCTACCGTGTCTTTTCACGGAATACCGCTCTGCTTAAACCTTGCATCCAGCTGTCTGCTTGGCGTCACTCAAGGTGAAGCCAGATCCGCGAACCTCGGGATAAGCATTGATGTTGCGGCAGTTGGTTGAGAAGCTCTCCACCATGTCATTACTGACTGGACAGGCCCAGGGGGTGTATTCATTGTTGCAGGGTATACCGACAGCCTGGCAGGGGATGGGGCTAGTGTTGCAGCTCATAATGAGGTAGTTGCTCTGAGCTGAGATGGCGGTAGCCAGGGTGAGAGCGATGGCAGTGTATGTGAACTGCATTGTGCTGAGTGAAGGGCTGATTAGATGATGTACATGGTATACTGATAGTCTTAGACTTACAATGCGGTGGACCCTGAGGGGTTTGTAGAAGGCAAAGCTTGACAATGTCGTTTGTTTGAGATTAGATGATGTTGATTGTTGGATAATTGCAGAGCTCAACGGGCTTCCTCGTCACTTAAATATTCACCGAGGCTATAATGGATCAACCAAGTAGTATGACGCAGCATCCTAGCAGATTTGTTCATATTCAAATAAGCATTATTTAGGTCTGCTAGCATCTGGACTGGTCATTGGGCCGGAGGCCGGATGCTGGGTCAATTGTCAAGTGATCCCTGTTGGTGTTGCACGAATCTTGGACTAGATTACGCGTGCACCTCTTTTGATATCTCTTGTCAGAAGAACATAGCCTTGGTGGAGATGATGCTGAATTTCAAAATAACCCTGCTGGGCGTGCTCTTAGATGTGACATCATGACTTGATCAGCGACGGGATAGGGATATAAGTTGAGCTGGTCGCATACGCACTGATTGTTCAAGATACTTGATTACAATGCAGTGTGATAGCACACTAGATATATACAAACCACGCATTGTGCCCTACCTATGGCTATATGGAAACTTGGCAAATGATAGGTTGAGAGTTTTGTGTAATATGCCTGGAGCGTCATCATTTCTCGGAAGTAGTCGCTTGCTGTGGATAAAAAACATATATGGACAAGTAAGCTATTTGGAGCTGAGTCGTGATGACAGGCTGGGGTGCCCAGGCCCAATTAGAAACTTGTCTGCTTACGTCTTGAGCATGAGAACTATCAGGCTGGATTAGTATTGACGTCAACATTTGTCTCTTGAATGACTTTGGCAACCACTGGTAATCGACTGGACTCCTCCATAACTTCACATTTTCGTATTAGCTACACCATGCCGTGGCTTTTCCCATAGCCCTTAATTGTTCCAACCGGGTAAAAGCAATAATATGGCCGCGAATTAACGATGGGAATGCATATGGAACGCTCAGATTAAGAATGCCTCGATCATCTTCCATTGGGGTAAAGTTAGATTTGTAGTTGGATACCTATTATCCTGGCACAGTAGCTCAATCAATGGTAGTACTATGTGCTTGGGTATCGCACAGCTGCACTAGTAATTGGCTCAGTTTTAGCTTCTAAATGTCGGTAGCCGGGGCATGTTGCACTGATGATCCCAGTGTGCTATATGTTGTTCTTGGCTTCTCAGATGTGTGACCCATGGAACTACAGTATTGCTTTGTGAGCCATAGTAGGACTGATTCTGTGCCTAGTATGATTGACTCCAGCCACTAGTATACCTTTTGAGCGTCAGAAGGATAACTGAGATATTCAAGGGAGATAGCTAACGAACGTTTTCTGTGCAGCTTTGACTAGGCATAACTTAGTATGCTCTCTAAGATGGGTAGTCTGTGGTATGCTCTCGCCGTTGCGTCTCTAGTGTATGCTTGAGAAGAATTATAGACATGTCAATTAGACTAAAAATTGGAATAGTCAATCAAGGCAGGTTTAAATTATATAACGAATGACCGATATGTAATCTCAAATTTAAACCAGGTTTCACTAGCAATAACCGTTACTATACCATCACCCTAGGTAAGAGACCAAATCCGAAACGCTCATCACCTTTCAACAAAGGCCATATTCCCCATGGCATCGTAGAACACCCCCGTTACCAAGCTCTACAACACCGTCTACAACAGTCAGTTAACACAACAGTTCAACTTTTATCGCACCATATGCTTACCTAGATTGAACGTCCTCAGACCCATGTTGATAGCTGTGGCAAAGTCACGATGCGGCTTAGGCTCGGGCACATTCGCGCAGTAACAGAAAAGGTTGTCGCCCTTTTCCTTTCTCTCGAAACGACAGTCCCAACAATTCCCATTCCATTCCGCAAGTCCATATCCACTAAGATTGTGAGCTATTGGTTATGCTAATTAGAGGGCGTAGACATACCTCTTTTGTGCGGTAAATTGATGCGTTCTTTCATTCCAACCAAGACATTTGTTCAGACACAAAGCTCCTGTCTGAACTTGACCCTTCTTGTCGGGATTCTTGCAATCAAATGCCAGACTTTGTGAAGGTGGTCGAGTTTGACCTCTTTGAGCTCTTGCACCCATTATCTCGAGTCCATGACACTGGTCCAGCATATATTTTCTTTCGCCAGGGAATGCGGATACGCCTCTTTTCGCGGCAATCGTGTCGTTGCTTTGACTGGCAGCGAAGGCTACCAGCAATGAGGAAAAGACAAGTAACGGCCAGTACATTTTTGCACTCTGTCGAACGAGAAAGGATGGGCTCGTAGAGCTGTAGGAAGAGGTGGAGGAAATAATTTATTATTGTTATTTTTTCTTTAAAGAAAGAATCAGGAAACTATCAATTCCATAATTGTCTTGTGTAGGCGCTACACAATTTATCTGAATTTCACTGTCTTCGTCACAGTAAACTGGACCCGCTCAGTTGAGATTGCCCCTGAGATGAGAAGTAAAAGTTTCCGCCTTTCTTTATGGAGTTTGAATTCTGTGCTACAGCGTAGAGATCAGCTCTACCAATTGCTTTGTAGCCGCCCCTTATAAAGCGGCCTGAGCATCCACCTCGAAACATGCTTCTAAGAAATGGGGCAATAGGGCAAACGGGATGGAAGTCTTTAGCCTGTCCATATCAAGACCCATCGATTTAGGCCGAGCCCCATATTAAAACATAACAGTTTGGATCATATATCTTGGATCTTTAGGGAGATATCTTGCTTCAAATCTAGATGGTAGAAATTGGACTACTAATCTTCCCCAGCGCCCTGGACCAAAGCCTCCCTCGGCAATTTATATTTCATTCAGAAGCGAGTATAAAGATACCAACTGATCAATCTACGTATCGGTACACTAGACTGCTACCATGAACTGGCGATTGAAGTCTAATTTGTGCTGCTCAATGTCTACTCTCCCAGATCCTAAGGTGTATTAATGAACATGTGGTAGATAACTTCCCTGTAAATTGCGGTCTACATGATCATGTAACAGTAGGATGACTATTAGTGTGTCACCACCCCAAGGATTTGAGCCCTAGTGCCCTGCATCCCAGACACCATCGGCATGACACCTTACTTACCTGGGAATGTGGTAGACGCCGTCATTTCTGAGTTAGGAAGGAGTACCGTCGTAGTAGGCCAACGGGCTACAGGATAGATAGTACGAGGAGGATATATCGTGTTCGGATTACTGGGGAGAACGTATATGAGTTGGAACAGATCGAATCGCTTGAGGATCTGGATCCTCTGCGTAATCCAAATCTATATAGTGCCTTAGACGCCTCGCGTGCAGCGGGGTTATTGTTGCTTGAGGCATCTGCCGTTACAATTTTGATGGGTCCATAGTAGATAGGAGGAATCGGACCTCTGTTTACCGCTAGTTGTGACTCCTTTAGCTTTAGACCGAGATTACTAGACTAGCTAATACCGAGTATCATCCACTCAGCACCAATACCTTCATTCCAGTCCTACCATATCCCATTAGATGATTCCGTGCACCAGCCCCAACGATACACAGGTAGATCTACTCGAACAGATCATCATTTCGGTCTCCAGGCCTGAAAAATCTGGCGTGTAGAATCCAAACCCTCACCGCATAGACTTAGCCATTGCAGGTCAATGAATCCCGCTTCATGAGCACAAGAGTTGTACACTTGCCGCCGAAGCAGGTAGGCATCAAACGAGACAGTCTGATCCTGATCCGAAAAAAAACGGTATTTCACGCCATCTGGAACATGCTCGAGGAATTGCATATCATCAGTTGAACGTTCTCCATCATCATCATCAGCAGCAGCAGACAGACTGTCGAGCCAGTCGAAATTAGGCACGATTCCGATGCATCTACCACCGGGCTTCAAGTTACACATGATGTTCTGCCACATCTTCAATTGATCCTCGGCAGTAGGAGCATAGTTGAGAAACCACATGGCGAGGACAAGGTCGAACTTTCCGACCTCCAAGGGCTTGCTGCAGTCTGTGACACAAAACTCAAAGCGACTGTCCCCTTCATGCTCACGTTGCGCGACTTGGACCATAACGGGGGAGATGTCTAGCCCCACCACTCGTCGTGCTCCCTGATCGACTGCTTTCTGTGAAAAGTAACCTGTGCCGCAGCCTAGGTCGAGTACCTCCTGTCCCTCGAGGTTGCCAAGATATTCAAGGATCGTCGCGGTTTGGGCCATATCGCGAGATCGCTTCTTGATGTGATTATAGTTGGCGCCAATCTGGTCATACTGCACCGACATGGCTGGACAGTTGAAGAAGATAAATGTTATAGATCTATACGAGAACACGGGATTCTAGTGACTTGCACACCAATCAATATTGAGGGTGCAACGATGAACTGAATATGAGGAGGCTTGTAGCTTAAAAGGCTTTGTAACCAGGTCTATCTCTGTCTGGTGATGTCCATGGCTATTTACCATCTCAGTTTTATAGACTGGTGTAAAAGCGGTGTAGCTCGGTCACATGAGTGACTCCAGAATACAACTGGCCTTTATTAATACTACAGTAGATAATTATTATTGGTCCATTTGGTTTCGAGAAGTATGATTGCGTCCTCTTATTTCTAGCGTCCTACGGGCCCTTCAATAATCAGGACGAGCGGGTGACTGGCTGGCGGTGGCCATACTCGGTATGTAGTATGATCTACAGGTTGACAACACATATATGCCAAGAGCTGAAGCAACCCCCACTTCGCGCGCACAGATCAATTTGTTCGGGGAGATAGATGGCAGCCGTAGATGCTTTCATTGGATATAGTGCTGAAATGAGGGGCATACATAGTATGTCCATATTCTGCTGTATAGGAGCTGAAAACATGACGCAAGATCTCGCTTCTCAACTTTAGTATAATTAACTACTATCTATTTCTCGTTGAGTCCATCCTCTCTCGAAATCTCTTTCAGCCATCTCCTATAAATATTGAAAGATCTCTCCAAAATGCCTGTATGTTCTGAAACATTACGAATATAGTTAACTTCTGCACCGTCCAATAACTACTGAATCATTTGGATGAGGTAAACATGCTGATAGTTAGGTGATCGAGCTACTACGTGACATCAACAGCTTTTGTTGTACTTGACAAACGATCAAGGAGGATTACTATTATAAATATACAGCGAGAAACTGTTATGTGCCAGAAATAGGCTGAGACTCACTAACTACAGGGGCATACAGAGCAGAATAAAGGCAATTTGTTAGCTGTTGGATTTGAAGATCCTGGTCTTTTTACGACGGTAACTCCCCTGCCCATGAGTAAGTTTATTTGTGGCACCTAGGGCTTCTGCGGAAACTCTTTCTTAATATTATAATATAGGATCCTCGAAAGCAATGGTGTTCAGCGAGGAAACTACGAAGTAATTAGCCAGATGCCTCCCATGATAATCCTTCTACAGTAAGTATTGAACTTATAAAGGAGGGGGGGACATCAGGGAAAATTGGAGAGCTTGAAGCTTTCAGTATCACTATAAACTGACGGTTAACATCAGGCTGAACGATGATGCTATTGGTGAGCTTAAGAGTTTTGGTCCAGTGGAGGTCGAGGTACACTACTAGATATACACTGGAATATAACATCAATCTCTTATTTTACTGAGTGAGATAGAAGCAATGGTATAAGTCGTCGCTTACTAGATCTCTTTCAATATCCAGTAATGGCTTTTTTAGGGTCATACATTAATTTAAAGCTTCCAAAAGTTGGAATCGGCTGATTCTCACGCATACAACTCTTGTTTTTAGCGACATTATATCCTCATCCGGAGTGTGGCTCTATGTAGACGCCAAGTCGTTTAGTCGCTAGATAACATCATACTCGCCAATAGCGTTAGTCCGTATTGCAGTGATCGAGCCCGAACTAACGATACGTACATAACAAGCTAGGGCAAAGTGCCCAATTTATGATCGTGAATGACATATTTGCATCATATTGGAGGTAAGCTATTATGTGTTCATATCTCGACTATTATAGGTTATTTGAATACTTTGCCCGATGTACTAGATCCACTATTGATGTACTATGCTAAGGGAAATATTCTTTTCCATCAGTCTAAAAGATAGCACACCCGAAGGAAATTCACAAATAAAAGTTCCGTATATCCAATGCTATGATTATCAATAGCGGAAACCAAGCAACACAACAAACATCTATCGTACGGAATAAAACCCTAGACTTCTATCTAGAAGATACAGAAGTTTCAAAAAGCGCCTTGTCGTGCTAGAGCTTCAAATGATTCATAACTCCACCAATAGATCTTGATTGAGCAATACCATCAGCTTCTCGCTTAGCTAACCCTCTACTTTCTAGAAAATGACTGCACAGGCTGTGGAATGGGAAATGGAAAGTCACTAGGCTAATCAGAGATGTTGCATCCTTGCACTACATCCCCACTGGCAAGATCCAAAGATCAGACGACCTTTGCCCTCAGAGTCAGGTTTTTGTAATCAGCTCGAGCCCTGTGGAGGTGACGCGGTAGTTCTGCCTTGTTTCACGATCAGACAAGCGAAGGTCTCGCATGTTGTTATTAATGAATAGGCGGGTCGGCGCTTCCTCATGACGGATGTTGAGCACCTCTCCCCCGTATCCAGAAATAGGCAAAGCCCAGCTTTTTGCCGTCTGAGATGTGCTGCCCTTAACATCCAGATTCAACAGCTCGTTACCATCAGCATCTAGAACCTGCAAGGAGGCGTACGTATCGTTGAAATAGTGATGAGCCACACCGTCCCTTAAAGCTACAGTCAGCTTCCGGCCAACTAGATCTAACTCTGCTGTCAGGAACTGCCAATCCCCGATGCCTTTGAATGCAGCTGTGAAGGAATTGCCGAGCCCTTCGCTGGGTGCATTATTGTCGGATGGTATGCAGTCGGAATATTGTTTCAGCAGGTCGTCACGTTGAGAGCCAGTAAATTGGTCGATGGCGAGCCAAATTTCCATCTTGCTAGGACAGTCAGCGTGTAGTAGAGTAGGGTGGCTCCGCAGCGCAGTTGCCGCCGCTTGTATCCGCGCTAACAAGGCAGCCAGTGGGTCGTTATTGAGTGACTGGTTCTTCAGACCACTGGAGGTTATCTCGAAGATATTCGTCTTTTGGCTGTGGTCGATTACTCCGTCAAAGTCTGGTCTTAGCTGAATGCGGTGGCTAGGCTCCGCATGATAGACCTCGAGGGTGTAGCCCGGCTTGAAAGGTATTTGGTCATCACGTAGTGTTGCCCCAACTCCTGGCATTGTTGCGCGGAACTGCTCCTTGCCGGTGTTATCTTTAATGACGACTTCTGCGTATGTTTCATTGCCAAAGTAGGAATGTGGGTCTTTGTTAGTCACGGCTACTTGGACGACATGATTTGCTTGGTCGACTAGTATGGTGCTGAACAAATCGTCCCCGAGACCTAGCAGCTTGATCGCTTGGTTGGTCACCTGAGACCCGGTTTGTGGGACAAAGTTTACTTGCACCTGAGCTGATCCAGGCTTGACAACAAGATACCGTTGATCCACCTGGTACTTATTGTTCCGTCCCAGTGGGAGACGCAATGTATATACACCGATAGGCAGAGCTCTAAGGGCTATATCCTCGGTCTCAATAGGGACCTGGCGGACATAGCGGGAGCCATCCAGCACTGTAAGAGTCTTCCCGTAAATTTGACTGAAGTTGTCGATCTTGAGCTCGAGGGTGACATCACCTTTGATCCCACTAGCGAGCAATTGCGAGACGTTGACCAAGGTGAGAGGACTTTGCAATTTCAGCTGCTCCTGGAGTTTCGTCAAGGTATCTCCATCGACAAGCTGATTAAGAGGATAAACGGCTCTGCCCTGACCGAACTGGTTGAGCTCACGCTGTACTGGCGAGATGTATCCATTGCATAGCTCCACAAACGGCGTTACATCAATGTGTCCAATACGGGAGAAGCTCTCAGAGAGCATATCCAGAAGCAAATGATCAGTGGAATCGAAATGTGGTTGGTTGCTCACCAGGCGATATTGCTGGCTGAAGTCAGCAAAGGAGTCGGCACCTGCCTTTTCCACCATCAAGACGAGGAAGTATAGCTTCGCGCGAAGATCCCAGTCATTGAGAGACTTGTGCGACGTGATGTCATCAATGATACCTTGCTCAACCTGCGCTTGCTTGCCATAGTTATAAAGCCAACCTTCCTTATACTTGCGGTCACCTAGGTAAGCGCTCTGATATACAGCGGCATAAACGTTGTTGGACACTTCCCCGTTCCAGAAATATCGGTCATTGCGGAACGACATCTGATAGCCGTGTCCGATCTCGTGTAGATTGCCCCAGTTGCTCGGAGACGGCAGTAACCACCACTCCTTGATTGCATTAGTCGATGCTGCAGTCCAGTTCTGGCCGTAATACGCCCCGCCAGCTCCGTGTTTATCAGCCTTCATGAAGTAACGATTGGTACTGTTCAGATCAGAAGGATGCTCTGGTTCAAACGATAACCCAGCCAAGGCATTGTAAAACGAGAAAACTGATTCATAGTATCCGATCAACCCGTCAATATCGTCCACCTCCCGCGGATGTCTCAGTGCCTCCTTATCAATCACGGGTACGAGAACTTGGGTGTAGCTGGAGTCAAGAAGCGCAAACTCCGACCCCTGATTATCCCAGTGATTGAAGAAGTCGGTCTGGCTTTGTCCCTTGCGATACACGGGCAGTTGCTTCGAACCGTCTGGATATTCATATTCAATCACTGGCTCCACAGTGGTATTTGAGCCATCAATATACGGCGTGTCAATGAATGGTACAGAGACAACACTCGCAGTCAGCTCGGTCCAGTCGCTACCCACTTTCTTGGAAGCCTCTGTTTGATTATCGTCGTTCAGCAAGCGCAGAGTGAGCTCGCGAGTGAATTCAGTATTGGTTTGACGAGCCTTGATAGTTTGACCTGCGGCAAGGACGATGCTCAGATGCTGGCGGTCATGGTCAATGCCTTTGCCCATTCCTGCCGCATCGAGCCATTTTGGACGTGGGAGAATGGGGATGTGCTTGGTTTTGGTAGGCATGATATGCAAACGGTGGTGCTCACAGAGCAACAAAGGAATATCTCTAAGGCAGAAGAACAGGCACTAGCCTAGGAAACACAGAAATGAAGCTTGGACTATTTTTAGGAATTTATGCGGGTATTGATCGACCTGGATCGGTTTGATCTCCATTCTTCGTGGATATTGTGTGTATTTATATGTACCACCGAATGGTTCTGGCCAACGCGCATCACATTTACCCTCTCTTCAGCTCACATCGTCATATCATGTATTATCGTTCATGTTTGAGAGGCTAGCTGAGCTCGCTCTCAGCTCGACATCAGCTTCTATTCCCCGCGTTTCCTTGTACAAATAGAAATTCGAAGAAAATGCGTACCACGCCAAAAGAGGAAATCTTGGGCCATCAGTCCATCTTTTCACAGCGAAACTAACGTCTTTCAGGTCTGACTGCTATGCATAATATGCAAGTTTTTGCAGAGTGGAAAATGCAGCCGACAAAGCTTCTGTTCCTGATTGGCCCGGATGATCGTCAGCTGGGTAAGTAAGGCATTAGAGCGTCTGGGAGCTCAGGAAAAGACGAGATTCGTCAAAGACACACTCACTCGGAACTCAGAACCTGTTTCATGGATGACAGCTGTATGGACTAGCTGCAGACTCCTTGGTTCATGGGGACCCGTAGCTGCGGTGGGATGTCCTTGTGAATGTGGTGCCAAGAAGGCTTCAGCTCTGTTGTATTGCCATAGGTATATCGCATAGTCACTATAACGAGAGTTGAAAAATGTAATATGTTTTAAAAACACCTTGCTTCGGTGGTCGGTCACTCGGCTACAAGCCATCATTCTGGGAATCTGGTACTGCTAGAGCGTCAGTGGTTAAGTAAAACGACGATCGAGGCAGTTACGTTAATACAATCCATATCGCTGGATCCAATGACTAGACATATTAGCCTCACCTGCAATCCTCCCGTCTCATGTGCATAAGTGATATAGCATTTGGCCCAAGCTATCCTACTTTAAAATACTCCAATGTCCCATACCTCTCCTTTCCCCACTTCTTCAGCCCCTCATCTAGAGACTTTGTAAACCCTCCATTATATCGTAAACCATCTTCAAGATAAGCGATTCTCCCAGTCCTCCAAACGACCCAGCTCTCCGCGAGCACGGATTTCGGGTCCTGTAAGATACCAACTGCAACGTCCACTATTCCCGGGCGATCATTACAAGAATAGAAGACCACAGCACCACATGTCCCACAAAACGTCCTTACCACTCCATCACTCGATGAATAGCTTTTGGAGGACCCAATAAGTAAACTTTCTGGCGGAGAAGGCGATATATGGTTCACCGGAACGAACATCCAAGCCGCGACATTCGCCCCACTGACCAAGCGGCAATCATCACACACATCCAATGCACCTAGCCACTTGTCTTCTTTCCCTTCCAAAACCCATTTACGATTTGCAGGATCTTGAACAAAATCCCGACCAGGCCGGGAGATGGTGAATGACACCCCTCCGCAATGACACTCGGCCCGTAGAGACCTGTCATCGCATTGCGGTGCCTTCGAATTGTCCTGTATGGCGGTCTCCTTATTCTGCTTCTCTGAATTGGATATGGTAATTTCACGCCCTTCGATCTGAGACACAAACTCGAACAGCCCGGTCTTAGTACTACCGTTGGTGTAAATGTGTGAGTTTATTTGCCAGACACTTTCGTCTCCGCTACGGTCGAAGATCGCGCTGGATATCATCCAGCGACCATCTGCGTGATCGCGGTCACCAATATGACAACCACATTTGCTACAGAAGAACCGAGTAGATTTGGACTGTGGGTATGTATACGGTGTCAATTTGTCCAGGCTTGACGGCGAGATGAATTCGGGACGAATATCTTTGGGAAGCGGGGCATGGAAGCTGCAGAGGGCTCCATGCGTATGGCGGCATACACTGCAGTGGCATAGATGAATGTCCAGCGGAAGGGCATCACCAGGAACGGTGACTGTGAAATGCACAGATTGACAGTGGCAGGCTGCAGTCAGGGTCTTGTATTCTTTGCTAGCAGCCATTTTGCGATGAATGTATTCAACATATGGAGGCTGTGATGGAAAGCAAAAACATGTAGGATGTGAAGGAGGGGATCCAGCAATCAGGTGATATGACATCCCGTCTCAAAGTAATTATAACTCGTATTCATCCTCTTGGGGCAGGTGAGCCAAGTGCGACAGAGTTATTAAGGTTAGTGGTTGGTCCACTGCTCTCCGAGACCTTTCTTCTTATGGTGGTTCCAAACACAGCAAAGTAAAGAAGCAAAAGTAGCATTGTTGAAAAAATAGATGCAGGCCTCAGATGAGCTACCTGATTGTGTTTTAGTCCACGCCAGGTACATGATGCAATTGGGTGAGACGTGACGTTTACGAGGTCGCTCCACTTTTACGAGGTATGGTCGTTCGTATCAGCGACACCCTTGAAAGATCGACAGATGGTCGTTGGAGAGATAAAAATAAACTACTCCTTGAAGATAGTCTCTCTATGATCTGGTGTTGATCGTCATTTCCACTGTTCCACTCAGATGAGTATCTTCATATATTCTGACCCATTAGACCTCGTATGGCAGAGCGTTCTATGTTCGCATCATGGGCACAAACTAGGTTAGTCAGGGAAAGGTATGGGACAAGGATATATAAAGATGGCACCTTGGGGCGGAGACTTGTGAGTACATGAGGTAAACCAACAGAGATCCCATACCCTCGACTCTTTCATCCAATTCCCCGCTACCCAGCGAATCCAGTCTTGATTTAATCATGAAATTCCATCTCTGGGCTGTCGCCCTCGCATCGGCACTCTGTGTCCAAGCCAACGAATGGCACGCCTATTACCGCCTCGATAGCAAAGCATACCAGACAAAATTTGATCAAATGGTCTCGCAAGGCTATAGACTCAACTCAGTCAGCGGGTACGAGTACAATAAAGAACCAAACTTTGCCGTTATCTTCGAAAAGAGGCCCTCCCCGGCCTGGAAGTCTCACCATGGGATGACCTCCGACCAATACCACCAAAAGTTCGAAGACTACCTGAAGCAAGGATACCGCGTTGTCCAGGTCAATGGCTACACAATCGATGGAAAGGACCGCTACACTGCTATCTGGGAAAAAGACTCATCTGTCCCTTGGATCTCGCGTCATGGAATGAACAAAGAATGGATGCAGAAATATTTCGACAAGTACCTGGAGGAGGGATACAGAATGACCCATGTTAGCGGGTATGAGGTTGACAATGAGAGTCGCTATGCTGCTGTTTGGGAAAAGCGGGATGATCCTACTCCCTGGGTTTCTGCTGGGGAACTCAACTCGACTGCTTACCAGGCTACGTTTGACAAACATGTGAAGGATGGGTACCGACTTGTTGACGTGGACGGGTATCAGGTCGGAGATGAGGTCATGTATGCGGGAATTTGGGATAAGTCTGCATCTGGTGCGTGGGTAGCAAGACACGGTGTCGAGTCTTCCAAGTTTCAGGCTGAGTTTAACAAGTACCGTGATGAAGGCTATGTGTTGAAGACTTTTAGTGCCTACAATGATGGGACAGCGGATCGCTATGCTGCTATCTGGGTTAAATAGCTTTGGAGCTTTGACCAACGTCATATAGATTCTCGAGAAATCAGATGTACATACAGAGATTTGAGTAACTGTTGATCGCTGCTATTTTGGACAGGCTTGCTTATCAACTTTACTTTTGTATAGATATCCCGAACTGGTCACCTAAAAATCGAACTAAAAGGTCTAGCAACACATAATATTTAGCATATATCATATCATATTATCTTGGAACCAGAGAGAACTACATACGATCCTAAAATAGAACAATATTTCGTTACTTCTACACTGCTTCTGGAATCACACTCATTGGCCTATCTGTAGTCACCACCGTTATTCTCCAATAGTTGCCGACACTCTTACTAACACATTTCGTCAAACCGTTGGCGTCGACCCTCCATACGAATGGATCTATCGTCGTTAGTGTTCCACCATATAGTTATCCAAGAACAGGAAGAGCCATCATACCGTTTGATCATAGCACCCTTCAGGTGTTTCATATCCATAAGCCCCCGTGTTTATATACAGCGTATCCTCCCCACAAACAAACCACGCAGCGGTATTCTGCCGATCAATATCCTCTGCCGTCCAGGTAACCGCGTCTCCTTGAAAGGCAAAGGTTCCATATACGTTCTCAGTTTCATTGAACCAGGTTTGTAAAGCTCGTTGTGTTTTGTTTGCAGGATCCTCTACGTTCATGTAAAGTTGCTCGGTGCCGGTATTGTAAACAAGCTGGCCTGAGACAATATTGAACTGACCAGCATTTGTGTTAGTGGCTAGATGGGCAGGCCCAGGTGTGGCGCTTGGGATGGTCTGGAGGTAGCTGTGGTAGTAGGGCGTTTCGACGGCGCGGATGAAGTACCAGTCCGATTGAAGCGTGGGTAGGGTTGAGGTAGCTGTGGTGGTGGCTGTAGATGTTATAGTTTGCGCGGATGCCTCAATGGCAAGAAGTGCAAATGCTAATTTGGGAAACATCTTGTCTCCATGTAAGTGAACGGCTTGGAAACTTGCTCTATTTAGAATATGGGTGGCAAATCACTCGGATTTATAAGAATTGGCTTAGGGCTACGGCGGGCCGGCAGATCGGTACGACAGCCGCGGAAATTTGCTATTCTTCCGTTCCGTGACCAAAAGAGCAAGTGTCTATATGAAACTACTTGCAAGTTTCATGTTGGTGATCATTGCTTAATTGTATCTAGAACTGCTGCAAGAATGCCGTTTATGCCGGCGGAAATACAAAGCATTACGTTCCTTGTCAACCCATTGGTTGGGTAAATAGCTATATCAATTTCGGATCCCTGCATATCATACTTTCATACAACACCCAAAGGCGACTAGAAGCAACCTACGGTGCTTTGAGCAATCCTTCATGGTTGACTACCCAACTGCCGTCCGGAGGAAACCCGGGAGCATCGCCCTGAGATCCTTCCCAGCCGGCAGCCATGTATGCCACTATTCTTCTTAGTACAATGACTACATTTGGATATCTATGTATAGTGCACTTACCAGCATATAGTAGCCCAGCATTACCAGGCATGAAGGGGGGAGGCGTTCCTCCTACGTTGGAGGCTTGCGTTAGGAACAGCATTATTAAGGATTTCACCATAACTTACCATCTCCTCCACGCTCGGCAAATCCTGGAGCAGACCCATTAGCAATTAGGCTCAATATGCATATACAGAGTGGGACACACCAGCATCATCAAAATTCCAATAGTCATATGCGGTCAAGTGATATACCGCTCGTTCTGAATCTCCCAGCCGTGCCGCATTGATCGCAAGAACGGGTCTACCCCATCCCCTAATCTTGTCGTCTGTCCAGACTTCCCATACCTTCTTGGCCGTGTCAGAAGCAACATCCGGGTCAACTGCTGGTGTGTTAGGGAGGATGCCTTGAAGCATAATCAAGCTCCGAGGGTCTCCGGTTAGAGAGCTATCATTCCACCATGAGCTATTCAATCCCTCGTAGACGGCATACAAACCATCAACTTGCGGGGGTGTAGCAAGCCCTTCCGCGACCACTGTCCATTTCTCGGGAATTGGCTGGTTGAGTTTCTTTTTCCATTCACGTGCGACATCAAGCCCATATCGCCAATATGCAGTCTAAGAATATGTTAACGTGAGTAATATATCTGGGTAGTCAAGCTATGCTAACTTCATATGCAAGATTGAGGCTTCCAGACGGAGGTGTGTTCTCAGTCACGCCGTATGCCCTGAGCATGTTAGATAGGTCTATAGGCAGATGACAAATGCACATACGGCGGTCCTAGATCATAATAGCCTGAGCTTGTATTTTTCCAGGCATATGAGGCCATATAATCAGCTGTGGCCGTTAGAACGCGGTCCCATCGTTCAAGGGTCTCGTGTGTTGGAGCTGCTTGATAAGCTAGCGTTGCCAGGTACATGGGATGAGGCTGCTTCTATTAGTACAGAGCCGCCTTTCCTAGCACATTGACGTACCTGTTCCCACAATAGAAGACCATTGATGCCACCGGGAGAGCTCACTCCGGTCTCAACGTCAGTCATTTTTGGCCAACTAAAAGATGTCAGTTCATGTGTGGATTAGTCAGAATTGGTGATAGCAGACCGTGCGCCATCCCACCCCATAGACTTTGCCCGTGCAATTGATGATGGCAGTAGTGTCTCATATAGTTCCGGGAAGATGTTATCGAATTGTTCCTGCCGACCCCATGTCGCCCAGTGCGCGTTGTGCCAGACCACCATTTCCATGTGAAATTTTCCTGGCCGTACTATTAACAACCCAGCATCCCAATGCAGTAACAGAGTTATACTAACCATACCACCCATTATTCATCAGGCCGCTCTCCTGGGGTGACTGTCCCTTAGCCGCGCTATTCACCCGCACGTGGTATTGTGATAGGATGATGCGACGCTGGAGCTCATCTGCTTTAGAATTAGATGAGGAGGTGAGGTCGATAAATCCTCCTTGAGTCCAGTACTGGTTCCATGCTGTGGAGCTACGCTGCTGGACCACAGCTGGTTGATCGACCATTTGCCTTTTTGGTGAAAAGTTTGCCGTGAATGCCATGGAAGATGACGATCTGGATTTGATGGTGTACCTATGGGTTGCATTGTGTTGACGAGAAACCCGTAGTGGTTGTCCAGAACCCCACCGCAAATTGAGATAGTAATTCGTTTCCTGCAACTCGTGTCGAATATGTGCGCCATTCTTTCCCGTGTCTCCCTCAATGCGGGTAGTATGATTTTGGGGAAAATCGTAGACTCCAGCAAAAACTTCATATTTATACTTGGTTGAGTGAATTGGCGGATATGGAAAGTCTAACTCAACGGCCAAATCACCCGATGTGATTAGGTTTGACTCGATTTCAAAGACTACCGAGTCTGAATCTAAGTCTCCTTGAGTCGCCACTTTGACTAACTGACCTTCAACCTTGAACGTTGAGGAGATGACTCCTGTCCATAGGTCGAGCTCCTGTCGTGGCTCCGTAATTTGAGATGCGGAGACAAGTGAGCCTTTATATTGTAGCCCTATGCGTCCTAGATTTATGCGGTTGGGATTGCCAGTGAGCCATTGCGATACTTCAGGGAGGTCAGGATCCGGAATATCGTATGACACGTTCCGTCCATGCGTCAACATGGGGACTCCATGATAATCCTCAATTTTCTCCCTATGGGAACGTTAAAGAGATAAGCCAATCAAGGCACGAAAGAAAATGGAAAAAGGTAACTGGAAGTTTTACCCACCCATTGCTTGGTAGAGAATCATTATGCCAGCCCCAGCTGGACAATGTGTTGAATGGCAGAAAGGTCTGCTTGCCTTGTGAGCCCCCATATCTGAATTTATGCGTCGGGGACTCATACCTGCAAACCTGTATTATCAACATTGAATGCAAAGTTACCATTGCCCACTTGGAGAGGTGTCGTCTCATTGGTGATCAGACTGGCGCGGACTACATTGTATTTGGACACTATACGTTGCCTTCTTGGGTTAGCTGGAATGCAGATTCAGGATGAGGGTTGCGGTGAAACTTACCGGTCAATACTCCCCAGTGCAGGAGCTGATGCGAGGAGAAGTAAAAATATGGCATCTAAAACCATCCTGGTGGTATCCTTTTCCTAACAGCATCAGGTTTGTTACGGTGTGCTCGGAAGTGTAGTGTTTTTATATATCCTCGGGATAATGAGACCCGAAAGCTGGGGTAGAAGTTGTACCCCGCAGATCAACCACGATTAATAGATCAATTTTCGCACCAATGACCGGGTTATAATGCGTTTAACGAGCCACGATGGTGTCTTGGTATATACAGGATATAGAGCCATTGTCCAAGTGCCCACAAGCAGCACGTGAGCTGGCCCATCTTTGTAATGTAATGTTGGCTAGAAGATTACGTAACATGGCCATTCGCTGAAACAGTTTGAGCGTCTAATTAAGCTTGAAATGTGAGTTGACTGTGTTCTACTGAATAATATCTATGGTATAGGTAAAGTGCGTTTTTGTTGTGTGCGCGCATATTCCGTCGGCCCACGAGCCCACACTCGAGTTTAGGATGGTGTTCAGGATTACATTATTAGTGTCTAATCAGTTCGCTCATTTAAATAGCCAGCTTAAAAGTTTAAAGGTAGTTTAAGAAGAGGTCTTCGTGCTGCACGGATTTACTGTCGCGCCAACACGTCTAACATTCCGTACACCTTCGGAATGAAAGCCAAGCGAACCTCGCTAACCTTATACATGCAGCCCCGACGATATAGGATGTATATCTATCTTCCCTAATACTGTCCATCTATGCTGTTTAGGGTGTGCGTGCTGTCGCTGGGCACATAGAAACACTTGTACACCGGGTGATAGGGCTCGCAAAATTGAGTTATAAAAGTTGTATCAGTTCAGGAAGCACAAACCAAATAGAAGAAACAGTGGGGTATTTATAGATGTGCTGGTATGCATCGCAACAAAATTCTTGGCTTGGCGAAAGGAGAAAACTTTGACGGCATCTTCCAGCATGTCGGGCGATCAAAAATAGAAACCTATAGTGAATCTGCTCACATCTTTCAGCCCGCGACTTTTGTTCACCAGTCTACCGTAATATCCCTAGCTAGCGGCAAGGGGGATCCACGATGAAATTGATTACAGACAAATTATTAGAAAATCCAGAGTATGGATAGTATGAGATGCACTATTAGACACTAAGCCTTGTCGATCCGCCACTATTCGGCCGTGATCGACATGTAGATCTGCCCCAGTTCAGCTCCCCAATGGCCATCTGCAAGGAATCAATACTATCACCCCCTTAATGAGGAGAACCCTACAGTCTCTTAACCAGAGCGATGCTTCGACTGTCACATTTACGTGTACTACAATTCTCTCCGCAACCTAGTTGTACGCACTGGGCCTATGCTATAACCATTGTGCTTGCAAGCTGAGATACCTCCGGGTCCGACGAAAACCCTAAAACGCCAAACCGAGGCCGGTTCAAAGGATTTTCGCCAGACACAATGGCGACACAGCCGCCGAAGAGCGAGAAAGGCCCTGAAACGACAGGGGATGGTGATGATATTGTCCGGCCACCAGCTGAAGTACCGGAGGCACCATACACTATTCTATCCGAGAGAGAAAAAATATGCACTATCTTAATTGCTTCGTTTTCGGGATTCCTTTCCCCGATATCCGCTACCATCTACTTTCCGGCACTCAATGTACTTGCCGATAAGCTCCACGTTTCGCCCAGCGAAATCAATCTTAGTATCACAGTGTACATGGTAGGTCTGATCCCTCTGGATGCGAAGCACTCTGGCAATATCCTAATCGTCCTGTCGAGAAAAAAAATATTAGATCTTTCAAGCTCTAGCTCCATCATTCATCGGAAACTATTCAGATTGTAACGGCCGTCGACCCGCACTTCTCATTTGCTTTTTCATCTCCATAGCGGCCAATATTGGTCTTGCCTTGCAGAACTCATACCCAGCCCTTATGGTCTTGCGCTGTCTTCAGAGCGCAGGAGCTAGTGGAACTCTCGTCATCAGTGCCGCTACCTCAGCAGATATGGTAGTCCGGTCTGAGCGTGGGAAATACCTCGCCTACTCAACCATAGGTCAAACATCGGGACAAGCTCTGGGACCTGTGATCGGAGGTCTTCTCATTCAATTCACGAACACCCATTCAATATTCTGGTTTTTGGCTGCACTTGCCGGATTTATGACGTTCATGGTAGTTGTATTCCTTCGAGAAACATGTCGAAATATAGTTGGGAATGGGTCAATTCCGCCACAAAAATGGAATCGCCGAATTCTTGATATAGGGCGTCGAAAACAGCCTATGGATAGCGATGATACTCCACGTCCACAGTCTAGACGCCGACCTCTTCCCTTTGAGACGCTCAAAATCTGCCGTGAAAGGGAGACAACGATAATCCTAGTGTTTATCTCCTTTTTCTTCTGTGGATCCACTGTGACACTGAGTACACTACCCGCACAGCTAGAAAGGAAATATGGTTTCAACTCGCTCCAGATCGGTCTATGTTGTCTTCCGTACGCCTTCGGTAGTCTAACATCACGATGGACTATCGGCTATCTCTCGGATTGGAATTTCCGACGTCATGCAAAGCGCAACGGCTTCGAGATCGCCAAGAATCGTCAAACCGATCTCACCGAATTTCCAGCAGAAATCGCTCGTCTTCAGCTCACGTTCCCTTTAGTGTACTTGTCAGCCATCTTCATGATTACATACAGCTGGGTAATGGCATACCAGACCAATCTAGCTGGTCCGCTGATTATGATTTGCTTGGTCGGACATACACTGTCCGGTGGGATCAACACGCTTATGACACTTCTTGTTGATTGCCATGTGCAAAGGCCTGCGACTGCAATCGCTGCCAGCAATCTCCTACGGTTTCCTATCGCCGCAGGTGCTGTTGCTGCCGCGACTCCACTTATCAACAGTATTGGGATTGGATGGGCGGGAACGGTGTTGGCCTGTATTTGGATAGCATCTAGTCCTTTGCTTTGGGTACTTATGAAATGGGGCCATGATTGGCGTCGAGAGGAACTGAGGAAGCGAGAACAAGCGTCATAATCGGAAAACCAGCCGTAAGGACGTTTTGCCTATACGAACTGTTATGATCAATAATATCCGTATTTTCAACAAGGAGTTACATCCTATTGGGTTATAGAGCTATTTATATAAAAAAAGGTCTTTTATACAGTCGATGAGTTGTAACTATACCTCACGATAGGGAATCCAACAACATATTATGAGTTCACATATTCAAGTGCATGGCTCACAACCATCAGCAATTCTTCCGTATCCTTCAACCCAACACTCACCCTGACAATATGTTCCGGTGCATCATCGCTAGCGGCTCAGTCCAATTTGACCGTGAAACTAGGCCTCAGGTGACTGAAATATGGCCCTAATATAACCACGTAGGTCGGGTGCCATCTAATACCAGCCATTATACTCGTAGTATTCTACAGTAAAAAAGCAAACTTTCTTATAGATTTATGTGTTTACGAATAATTTCAAAGGGAGAAGGCTTTGCTCTTTGATTCCAGATTCGTGTAGATTATATAATTCGTAAGCCTTTTGATGATGATTATAAAAACATAACAACAATGCATAAAGAGCCCATACTAACACCTATCTAGATACGGGAAACTAGCGCAAAGCGACCGGGGCATTGGATATGGCCCTTACAATCATACAATACTATACTTGTTTCAGAAGAGGAATTCTGTAATCGAAGCGTGCGCGTACATGAGCCTTCTGGTTAGATTATATCATTACGCTTCAACTTAAGCGAAGCGCCAATTGCTCCAGGTGGGCTACAAGAAAAGCTGTGCAGCAAACTACGACAACGCAATTGATGGTTCAACTCTAAGCGCCGGTTGAATCGTTCTAATGAAACGCCGCAAGCCTACTCCTCCAATCAAACCATGATAATACTCTAGAATCAAGGGGAGTCGTACTTGATCCTTGTTTATTCCTCTTTCCTGCAGGCACAAAGTCCGTCCACGAATCAATACCATTTCCACTACTATCATTTCCCTATCGGAGGCCATCGGTATTTGCCTTAGTCGCTTTATCTGTTGTCTTTTCTCCTACTCTTCAGCCTTCCGCTCCTCCTCTTTTTCCTTTTTTCTTGCCTTGTTCTTAGTGACTGTATTGCACGCAGCCCTAAACATCTTTCCCTCTGTCATCGCCACCGCCTACATCACAACTCTTGTTTCTATTCCCGTCACCCGATTCACCTGCATTGCTTGCACCGTCCCCACAATGCTGGCTTTCATCAGGGAATGCGCTTTTGTCACTGTCATTCGGTAGCGGAGTACCTCTGTTGTACGCCTTGCTTTATTGCCCAGGAGGTTAACCCCCTACAGGAACAATCACAAAGAGGAGCTTTCTCAGCAATCAAGTGAGGTTGACTTCGTAAACAGGAGGATCAGGCTGATGCCCAAGGCTGCTTTGGGCCGCCATGGCCTCCCTGCCAACAAGAGGGTCAATACTGCTGGCAAGGGGCTTGGCGGCAACGACAGTCTCGGATTCTATGTTCCAGTTGGATTTGCCCGTTACAGCCAACGCAGGGCAGTAGTTTGACTTTTACCTAGCTCTACCCGAGTGCAGATATGCCGATAGTAAAGTGCATTCCTACCATGACAATGAAGATTCAGCCTGGCGCGGTCAGGCTTTATCGCACTAAGCTGATCAATTTTTTAACCGACAATATATAAAGCCACCCTTTTGTTACAGATTAATTGGTGACCTACTAAATCAGGATTATGGTCCGCCAATGTCTTGTCTTCGGTAGATACTTGCAGCTCGTTTAGTCCTGAATATCTTGTCTTTCTCCAATCTATATACTGATCAATCGACGAGACTTAGAAGATATAAGTTATATCACCCAGCCCATATCGGCTGTGGTACAAAGCAGCACGGTCTCACTCCTTAGTTATAAGTGGCCTCAGGTCGATAAGCAGTATAGCAAGGACCAGAATACTCCAAGGCTAAGGATCTATTCAGTAGAGTCCTGGCTTTATACTAAAATAATGTCTTTACTCAGACAGGAACTATCTGTATTACCTATTATCAATCCTCAAAATTCTCAGTGGTTCCAATCAGCAGTAATCACTACCCAGATTATACTATCACGGAGGGTTCAGTATAGTCGAGCCGGGCCACCGAGAAGTATCACAACCAGCCCAAACCGCAACTCAGGCAGTTCAACTATACCTAAGAAAGGGAGAAAATTGAGATTCTCGCGGGTTATCGATCCCCGCAAAGTCAGCTATAAGATACAGAAGACAAGATTCTAAGAGATCTTATATACTATACTTAATAAGAAGAATCTAGGTATATTCTGAATCTTACTATATTAGGGTACCAGTATCAATTCTCTAATATTACCAGTTAAAATTATTAACTTATATAATAAGAAGAGTATCTGGTAAGAGATCAATCGCGTGTAGTATAGCTATAGAGAGTAATAGAGAAAGTATATACCACTTCTAAAAGTTAAGAAAATAGATATTGTTAAGATAAATAATTAATTAATATACCTGAGCAGAAAGTTACTATTACTATTATATATAACAAGCTTTCTATTACTGGACAGAATCAGCGAAGTATCAAAAATCTTAAATTCAGAAATAGATATATTGATAAGTTTACAAAGAAAGATTTATATATCAAAAAGCAAAGGCTTGAACAGGATAGTAATAGCTATTAGTTATAAGAATATCTATATCCTTACAGTCTTACTATAGGTAAAATAAATTACACTGGTAAATATAGATTATGGAAGTGACTGGGACTCAAACTACACAGAAGACAGATTCTTTAAAGTTAAAAGAAACTTGGTATACCTGAATCTATATTTACAGTTAAAGTTTCTTTTCACACAATCTTAATCTGCAGTACTATTTAATTTGCTGAGTAGAGAACTTGTCCTCAGTTAACTGTATACTTTCGAATATCGATTGAAATTTGGTAACTCTAACTGGGATTACAGAGATGGCAGCTTTAGGCTTCGTAACGATACTCAGGGTGTCAGACACGCAGAGACGATGTATGAATGGATGGATGGTAAGCGAGTAAAGCGGAGCCTGTACGATGTTTCACTTCAAATTAGGTATGAGAGGCCGATAGAATCGCCATGACTATCTGTGTATGAGCGCTTTGTTTAGTCTTTCTTCGGTTTGTTGATTCTGTTGAGCTTCTAAGTGCTGTACATGTGAAGGTTCGGGCTTTGAGAAAAATAAGCAACATTAGTCCTTGCAACTTTGTCAAACCCACAAGTTCATGAGCGGGTTTTCCAAGAGGCCTATTGATTCAGGAAGTCATTCAGTCGCCCCTGGGAAGCTGCTCTGACGATCCTAAAATGAAGCCTTCTATATGTAAATGCCGATCCTATTCGGCGAAGCATCCAGCCACCAAGTCTATACCAGTGCATGGCTTTATTTATTCATTTCAAAAGAGAAAAGGAAGCCAAAGAAAAGAAAATTCACATGTAACGTTTTATGGTACTCTTCTCGCACCCTTTCTTTGCCAAACAATCCCGGCAAAGTTGGGCAACCTTGCTTTTCTCCTTGGGTGGGGTAAATGTACTCTGTAGGTATTGTGGTATTATGTCCTAGAATGTGTTTACTGCTAGAGAAATACTCGATCAGATAATTGTTTTTGTGTTTTTCTTTTAGCACTCTATTCGGTTCTTTGATGTGTACTCTGTATTTTGTCAATTGGTCTTCTAATTACGTTTTTATGTCTCTGTTAAAGGTAGTGGTATGGGCAAGGTCCTATGAGTATGTAAGGTAAATCTTTCTTACTTAAACTGTACAGGTAGCTGAAGTAGATAAGAATATTCAGGGAGTACCCAATCCAGGCTATTGTAGGAGGTGGTAAGATATCCTACTTTATATACCCTGGAGTCTTGTTATAGTGCAACACGTCAGTGTTGAATACTTGAGTTAGTAGGCCATGGAAGGAGAACGGGGCCGGCGAGCCCATCGACTGGACTGATTTTGATGAGCAAGCAAATGTGTTTTAAGCTACCTTTACACACAAGACTATTGTGTAGTCGACTCACCGCTTGACCAGCACGGCATATGTTGGAACACAGATGATAGGAAGGTAGGCGAGGCAACATTATAACGGAGGTGGTCAGCTAATTAAATCCACAGTCAATATCGGCGTCGAACCGATATCCGTCGTTACAGAATCGCCCGCCTCTAATACTGGATCTGTAGATAAACCAACGTCTAATAGGTCTTTAACTCCCTTGAGCCAGTGCCTCCGAGTTGGTTTACCAGCAGAAACTTCCCAGACTGCAGCGGGCGGTAAGGCGCAGGTGACCTGGTGATACTGATTCAGAAGATCACCTGGACAGGGTCTAAGTATAGAGCTTTTCCAAACCTTGCTCTCGCAGAAGGTCGATGTCCGTGAAGGCGACTGGTCCAGAGATTATGATTTTCTGGTAATTGGTTTTGTAGAAGATCTGACCTTAATATAAGTGGCCATGTCACAATCCCCTCAGCTTGGATGCGTCCTCTGCGTTATTAGTGGGAGGTTGGGGAGGGGGAAAGGTGGGGGGAACAACACAGCTCTGATGATTGAATTTGTCATTACATGCAGTAGAATTAAATAGGTGCAGCTGAGTTCAGCTAAGCCAAATAACAGCAACAGTAACTATGTATCTTTGGTTGGGTGTGGAAACCCATCCCAGGGTTTCAGGGTTTCAGGGTGGAGAAGGGTCGATCGATGATCGCTGGAGTCTCCCGCTGACCGCCGGCAACCCCGCTTCAGTGCTCAGATGTGCCCTATAGTGCATATAGTGGGGTTGGATAAGCTCGAGACACTGCTCCAGATCGGCTAACTTGCTTTCAGTTTAGAAAGAGAAAGAAATCCGAAACGCTAGTCTCCTTAACTTAAAGACCTTAAAAGAGTCCCTGCAAATAGAAGAGAATAGGATAGCTTTATTCTGTTTTCACCGTTCATCACAAGTTATCATTATCTTATAGATTCTATTTACTATGGCTTGTATATTGCCAAATAACAATTATGCTTACCACAGTAACGAAAAGGCCACAATTATCCTGAGCACTGAGAAATACACTATCGACGACACGTTCAAGTTCACCACAGGTACCTGTCTGATTTATGCAGAGACGATCGAAATTACCTCTAGCATCACTCAGCACGGCAAAAGCATTGGCCTCTTTTGCCATACGCTCATAATCCCAAGTCGAGTCACCATTGATGTTTCTGGTGACAACGGTAAGGCAGGCGACAGTCATGTTAATCAAGATGGTGGACAGGGAGGAAACGGCGGAAATGCTGGAAATGTTTGGATTTGCGTCCAATCCCTTCCGAGAGAAAATCCTTTCCAGAACCTGGAGATCAAGGCGTATGGCGGAAATGGTGGCAGGGGTGGCGACAGTACTCCATCAAAGGACGAAAAAAGCAAAAAAGGCAAAGGGGGAAATGGCGGTAATGGTGGAAATGGAGGTAGGCATACGTGCCCAGATTGTCCCATGAAAAGATAGACATATTGACCTGGTCTAGGTAACATCGAAGTGTTGTTTGGAACAGCAGAAAATGACGCTGGTTATGCTTTGATGGAAATCCAAACGCGACCATGGCCGGAGCAAGCTTTGTGCTTGACAGAGACAGTGCTTTCAGACAGTCTGACGGGTTACCTCTCAAAGGAGAACATACAGCTCCTTGAGATTTTCAAGAGCCTCAGTGGTGTACTTCAATCCCTGGCTCGCCAGCTTGAGATCTTATCCACAGGAGGTGATAGCAAGGAGGTCCAAACCACTGCTTCTTCCCTCATGCAGGAGGTGCTCACCAACCTGGCGGCAAAGGATAAAGCGCCAAAGAATGTCACCACTGAAAGCGTCAGTTCTCTTCAAGTGATACTAGAGTCGGTTCGCTCTCTCAACCGAAAGACGGGAAACCTTGATGCAAATAAGACCCTTAAAGATGCTAAAAAGCACATCGAGACCGTCGCCCCTCAGCCGGATTCTGAGATAGTTTTGCTCACGAAAGGCCTTCAGAAGCGTCTTTATAGAATTGTATTAAACATGGAGGGGTTTGCCTACGACATCACCAAGTTGAATTCCAAAGGTGGGTATCTGAATCAATCGGTTAAGCTTGTTCTCCAGCTGACAATATTAGGTACCGGGGGTTTTAATGGCATCGGATCCGAAAATGGTACCAGCGGCAAAGCTGGACAGAAAAGTGGCCAGAGCCGTGCTCGAAACCTGCCTTTCCGGGGCACAGAGGAAGACGTTGATGTTTTGCAAGCCTATGTTTTCCCCGAACATTGTCAGATGCTCTTGAACAAAGCCGACGATTTGTTCTTCAGCAGTAATACCGAGACCTGGAAGAGCGCATATGCACTCTATAACACTTTACTTAGCCGTCTTCAAATGCTAGATGGCTTCCAGGGTAATAGCTCCTCTGGCTTTTTCACTGCCCTGAAACAGCTGGAAACTGAGCTAAATATAACACACAACCCCATCACGCAACTGAGATCAGTATACGATCAGGCAAATAGTCGTCGCAATCGATTACTCTTGGGCCAAGATATGTTTGGGCACGTCGATAGTTGGGTACCTCGCCTGTCATTTGGCTTCTTTGCCCAGTCGGTTGAGGAGCGGTTCAGGGTGGTCAAATCAGTAGAGGATCTGACATCAGCATACGAAGACGCCTTCCAGAAGAACAAAGACGTTCGTACTGTAGTCAAACAAGGCATTAGCAAGATGGCGGATGCCCAAAAAGAGGCCCAGGCCAAGACCGACCTTCTCACCTCCCCGAACGGTCCACTAGTCAGTGGCGTCAATAAGATCGCCTTGCTGACCAGGGATATGAACATGAAGCGGCAGCTGCTCACGAAGAAGTTGGCAAGTATTAAATTTGTTTTGAAGAAATTCGACTGGACGATCATCCTTGACGCAGGGTCTACGCTGGTCTCGACTGCCCTGAATCCGAAATCTATTCTCGGTGGGATTAAGCAAGGCTACGAGATATACCAAAAAGCAACAGACAATTCAACAGCGAAAAATATTCATGGCGACGCAGTGAAGAAAGAGTACATCATCGACCAGCTCGCACAATGTTCCGACACATTTGAATCGCTGGAAAATGCCCTCAAGACAAGGAAGAACAATCAGATTGACATCACTGACCCGGGGGCCTTGAAGACTTTAGCTACAAAGGAGAATATCGAGAAGATTCTTCGCGAGTTCAAGAATGCCATTGTGGAGAAAGACAAGAAGGAAATAGAAAGCGCCTTGGATGACTTCATTGCTGTTACTTTAAACCGCAACAACGCTGTTCTGGATTACAATGCCTCTCTCCAACTGCTAGTTGAAGCAAGCAGTGCTCTGGAATATAGCAAGAGCCAAGGCGAGTCTCTGGGACAGAAGGGGCTTACCCTCGATCCAAAAACTCCAGCAATTTGTTTCTGGCTACGCAAGACACGCGATAACATGAGGCTAGAGCTTATGCAGCGCTTGAACTACGAATGCCGTGCTATCAAATTCTGGGGACTGAGAGAGAAGCTCGAGTATTTCAGCCCAGGTCCCCTTCGTTCTGTAACAGAACTACAACAGGGTCAATCACAGTTGAAGGCGGCCTATGAGGATAGTCTCAACGGCTATGCTAACAACATTCGCAACGTATGGCCGCGTACTGACAATGACCAGGGCTTGTTTTACGAGTTCAGCAATACAGAGTTGAAAGCTTTTAAGCAGCGCCAGCTACTTATCAGTTCCAAAGGCGATGATGGAGTCTACGCCGCAAGTATCCGGCTGAAGCCAGGTGCACATCCGTTTGGTACTGGTCGTGCAGATATCAGGATTAACCAGGTACGCTTGTGGCTCCTTGGAGTCAAAGTAGAAGCCGACAATATGGGTAGTGAGCGACTGATGGTGAAGATTTCCCATGCTGGAAATGAAACCTTGGAAAACACCGAGAGACAGGCACTTGAGTTCTCTCACGACGCCGTCAATATACAGTTTGTATACGATACGGCCAAGGTCAACACGCGAGCCGACTTTCGTACAGATGTCGTGTTCGGTAGGCAAGGACTCGAGAATGATTGGAGTGGTGGTAACCGTGAACCGACTGCCTCGACGTTTGCTGCGATAGGACCGTTTACTGAGTGGCGTTTCTCTATCCGCGAGTCGCAGAACGCCGGCTTGGATATGGGTTCAGTGACAGCTGCATATGTTGAATTCCGGGGAGCCAATCGGCCTTTCTCGGTCGATTACCGAAAGGTGTGAATGAAGGGACTGAGGGATATTGAAGTGTGTACCTATTGATGCCAACAATGTGATTCACATAACAGTTGGAATTGTCCAATTGGACTTATGCCAACCCGCCACTATCATTATCTGATACTAGAACTCCAGAATGTTAAAGATAAATCGGATCATGGTGCCCTCCAACGGTAAAGGATCGAGTGCGTTCACATCATCAACTCGACGGTTGATTGGCTCGAAATCAGCATAGCCACAAGCACCCTCGGTGTCGTTAGCTTCTTCCTTCAGTCTTCGGACTGTCTGGGCGAAAAGGTCGTTTTTCAAGTTACCCCTCTCTTTCTATACTGCCTCTTCTTCTGCTTCTGCTTCTTCTTGTGCTTCGTGTGCTTCTTGTTTCAAAGCCTCCTGGAAGGTAGGGTACGGTATTGAGTATCTATTAGAGTAAGAATATTACATTACATGTTTTGCTACTACAAGTTTCGCGTGATCCAAACGTCAATACCCCTCCTTCCCCATCCTGAGAGGAAAGACCTGTGAATCATGACGCAAATATGTTACAAACCGGCTCTCCTCGCAACCATTCTCTTCTAGTATTGGTGTTAGAAGACCTTCGAAACGGCGAGCTAGGGCTTGACACTTAGTGGTCTTATCCTGCCGTTCAATCCGTAGCCGTAAGATGGTTTTCACAAACCTATGATCATCACCGCTGTTGATCCTTAGCGTAGTATCACTTGGTATGTCGCCCCAGCCAGACTCCGTAGTGATCCGTAGTATAAGGTAGGTAAAGACCACCAGAATGACTTGGGATTATGAGCGTATGGCAAAAGAGGCCAATGCTTTTGCTGTGTTGGTGATGCTAGACGTAATTTCGATCGTCTCTGCATCAACGAGACTGGTAGCTTTTCGGATTTCTTTCTCTTTCTAAACTGAAAGCAAGTTAGCCGATCTGGAGCAGTGTCTCAAGCTTATAAAACCCCACTATATGCACTATAGGGCACATCTGAGCACTGATACTTTTCTTGAGAAGCAGGGTTGCCGGCGGTCAGCGGGAGACTCTAGCGATCATCGATCTTAAGAAGCAGGGCTGCCGGCGGTCAGCGGGAGACTCCAGCGATCATCGATCGACCCTTCCCCACCCTGAAACCCTGAAACCCTGGAGTGGGTTTCCACTCCCAACCAAAGATAGTTACTGTTGCTGATGTATGGCTTAGCTGAACTCAGCTGCATCTCTTTAATTCTACTGCATGTAATGACAAATTCAACTATCATGTGAGCTGTGTTATTCCCCCCACCTTTCCCCCCACTAATAACGCAGAGGACGCATCCAAGCTGAGGGGATTGTGACATGGTCACTTATATTAAGGCCAGATCTTCTACGAAACCAATTACCAGAAAACCGTCATCTCCTTGAAATCAATTCCTTCAACCTGAACATTCTCATATTTACCTTGCAAAATGGCAACTCAACTTGAATTCTCCGCGCTTAGAGACGCGATGAAGGGCTTACAAACAACCGAAGGTTACGATGTTCTGGTGTCTTACTCTGAGGAAAAAATTAATCAGTTTCTCCGGGCGCGCTCAGAAGAACTGAAGTCAGTCCTGGAAATTGGCCCACTCAGGACATCTGTCAAGTTCTTTGGCAGGAAATACGATGTTGACATTTACATGAGTTTGGACCATCCTCTTCTTCAATTCGCGGACGACCGTGGAAACATTGTTCTGAAATATAACATCCAAAAAGCACACTATGAGGATATAAAGACCAAAGATACCACCACCTTTCCCGCCGGCATGGTGTTAAGCTTTGATACAAAATTTGCCAATGCCACTGGTACAGTGGAATCAAGTCAGAGCAAGGATGGATTCGCGGGAAGTGGGAAAACCGCATCGGCAAATGAACTAGTTATCATCAACCCAAACGAGAAGAACGTGTCACAGGGTGTCTGCATCACCTTTGAGAAAGCCTCGGTCGATTTAATAGGCACCACGGACGCTTCCAAGGAGGCTGTTCAAGATAATTTATTCGTGTTAGGTGCTCTCAAAAAGTACTTCCAGGCTAATGCCGAACTCAAATACTATGTCGCCGGTGTTTCCAATGAATACAAACCAGAGTCAGGATCTCATTCCTTACAGCCTCGCTCATTTTCTTTCAGCACATTGAAAGGCAATACTCCAAAGGATAAATCGGCCTTGTGTATGTGGATCTCAGTGAAAGAAGGAACAAACCGAGACCAAAGCTCCAATAAGGACTTCACATCTATATTCCATGCCACGGGTTTGATTCCTATTCCCAGCGGACGCAGTTGCAGCATTATTATGCACAATGATTTGGTTGCCAAACAATTCTTTATGGTAAGGCTACCCTCATTTATGTTTCTAAGTCAAGATTGCTAACAACAGCACAGTCTGGTCTAAGCACAGGGTTCAAGAATATGTCTAGTAATGGTAAGTCACAGTAAAGCCCATTAGAGCAAATCACAACTAAATCATAACGTCGGGTTTGCAGGTGAATTGAAATTCAGTGGAAACATGGTAGCCGATGATGTTGTAGTCCCGGCGAGACCTCGGACCAATCCTGTTAAAATGGATGGTATTACATTCAGCCCGTCTAAACCGGTGACATCAATCTCTTTCAGCAGCGACATCAATTCCAAGGCTCACAAGATAAGCTACACCAGCGATGAGCAGCATGTGGACTGGTCATATTACACAACTACCGTCGGCATGAACGGCGAGCGGTGGATGGTAGAACACCATGGCACAACAAATCTTGTGTTTGGATGGACCGCAACAGGCTCATGGAAAGATAGAAAGACCACTGGTCACCCTAATATGCTCGGCCTCGAGTGGACAGGTGACAAAGATTGGACGATCACTAAATCTGCGAAGGACCAAGAATGGTGGGAAGTTATCACTGGGGGCAGCACCAATATTCCTGAGAATCTTCAGAACTTAACGGTCCCCCGTCCGAATGTGGATCTGGAGATGAACACACTCGACTATTTTTTGACTACGAACTTACTTTATCCGGGCAAGCACATCTTCAACGCTGATGATCCTTCTTCAGCCAGCACTGACAAAGGACTTGCCCTTCCTCATGACTTGATTTTGACTGGCGAAACCAAGATCAATTGAAGCTTCCTGTTTGTTAGTGCCTCGCTATTTTTCAGAAATAGAATTACCCACCAGGTGGCAATCAGCACAAGGGTTACAAATTATAGCCTTTCAAGTATCTGGGAATGTTGTGGGATCGTATAGTCAATAATCTGAATATTTGAAACCACTCCTGTGCGATACATCCAGTCGCTACTGTTTACGCTGATGCCATGGTTTTGTTGCAGTACAGAAGAAGAAAAGGATCTTGGAATGACAATATTTTTATACCAACTTAATAACCTCCTCCTTGTGTCCACTGAGAAGAATCCCCAATGCCGGAGAATAATTGGAAGAAGACCCTCAGTTCCGCACTACACTGCGCCATGTTGGCATTCATTATCACTAGCTTTGTCAAGAACTGCCAGCTAAAAGAGTAAAACTCGATTGGACTGCTACTGCGAAGATGCCTGCTGACGGCCTCACCAAGATCCTCCCAACTCAACGCCATGCTGAGTTCATCCGAATGCTTGGATTGGTGGATTTGGGACCTACTCTGGCCTCATATTTACCTAAACAAAGCAATTAGGCACGCCTAGCCTCATTTCTGTATATTCGGCTATTAGCACCTAGTTATCCGGGGTTCATGACTGTCGTCCAGGCTGCTGTTTATGTTATTATTATTTTATGAGAAGTTGTACTTGATATATCTATGTTAGTATATATTTTTTGGACTTTAGTAAGACAGATCTTTCGTTTTTTCTCTGGTTATTTATAAGTATGGTCCGCAACTCTCTACGAGAGCAGGCTGCGCGATAGATTTGTGAGAATTGGGTTTCATCCCACCTACTAGGCAGATGTCTTTGTATTTTCAGTTATGGAGGATCTCTTCGCTTAATACAGATGCGAATTCTTCGAGAAGACTGGATGACCTGTCAAGAAATGGGAGAATAGATGTCTTCAAACGCCACAGGCTAGCAGAGGGAGCTGTTGTTACTGGCCATTTATATGGACCATATGATGTGGGGCTGAGATTTGCCGAATGCCGATCAAACCATGTGTTCATTTGGCTCGGTGGGAAGAGTCCGATTAACTTCTGTATTCCCTCAATCTTCTCTTAGTATAATTGGTTTGGCCAATCTCTGTCCTTGAAAATGTCAAAAACTATCCTTGACGTGGTTAGGGAATGTGATAAGTAACTACGCCATAGGAATATATTGTCCCACCGTGTGTTTACGTCGCTGATCTTATCACTAGTTTTGTGTCGGATGATGAACCTGTATCTCAGTCAGAAGTTCTGGGAAACTGCTATACCTTCGGAGTAAATGGTTACAGTGCTGTATTAGGATATATTCTCCGCGAAATTGTTGAAAAGATCCAGTGGTCCGACTTATGGGCAATCGATCATCACCAACGCACTGTGACTCTAGCGACGCCGGCCGGAGCAACAACCGATATCCGCTCTCGCGTGCTGGAGGACACTCTCAAAGCCACCAGAAAGCTTGGTATTATATCAATGCTTGAGAGCTGGCGAGATGAAAAATTCCCAGTATACGGCCCTGAAGGAGAAGTTCTGCTTAAGATAGAGCGTTGTGCAACAGCCTTATTCGGGATTGTGACCTACGGTGTCCAGCTCCTTTGTTATGTGAGGGGCGAACAAGGCCTTCAATTATGGATCGGCAAAAGATCAGAGCGCAAACAAACTTATCCCGGTATGCTCGATACCACTGCTGCCGGCGGCCTCGTTGCTGGAAAGCTCCCGATTGAAGCCCTCATATGCGAAGCACAAGAGGAGGCGTCCTTACCGGAAGAATTGGTGAGGGAGATGGTCAAACCAATGAGCCACCTCACTTATTTCCACGTCCGTGGGAGCAAAGCTGGAGGGGAGGTCGGCCTATTTCAACCCGAAGTAGAGTATACATACGAACTCGAATTGGATCCAAGCATGACCCCAGAGCCGAGGGACTCCGAAGTCGAGGGTTTCAGCTTATACACCGTCGAGGAAGTGCTGCGTGCTTTGAAAGAGGGACAGTTCAAGCCGAATAGTGCTATTGTCATTGTTGAATTCCTCATTTTGCATGGGATCCTCCGAGCCGAAAATGAGCCGGGCTACGCTGAAATCTTGTTGCATTTACATCGTGAGCTAGAGTTACCTCTCCTAATTCTGCCGTCGAATTGAAACTATATGCTTTTGTTCGAACACCCTGACAAGTATATGGCCATACTTTATTGCAAGCACTAGTTAGTAACCTCGTAGATTATAGACCGTCTCAAGTTAAGCAACCTTATTATCGTCCCCATACACCGTATTCCCAGAGACAAGAGTCTGCCAAAAGCTATCATTATCTAAGAACCCCATATCATCTCTGCGTAGCATGACCATTATTTCGAGCATTTCCTCAGACAAAGCCCTCCGGCGCGGTAGAATAATAGCCACCCCATCTGCTTCCATACAGGGCAATCTAACAAACCTCGGCTTCCCAAGCATAGGACCAAAGTCCACGCCATACAGGTCGAGAGCAGCCCAGCTTGTAATGGTGAGATCACGCGATCCAAATAGGTCCCAGCCCGCAAAAAGAGACCTATAATCTTCCATACCATCTACTAAGCGGTAGACCTCGGCGATGTGACGCGAGCCGATGGTAGACTCTGATTGCGACTCGGAAATGCACTCACACAGCTGGGCAAGCGAGCTCATGGCTTCATCGGATGTAGTCAAAGCTCCAACGTGACACTTTGTCAGGGAGTAAAGCACAGCATTTCCAAAATACGGATTTTCAGGGTCTGATAACCGCTCGCTAATGCGCTGTCGACCATTGACCGCTGTCACCAGTCGACTCGTATCGCTTTCAAGGGCCGGGTTGCGGTTGTTTCGCACGCGGGTAATCGTAGTCCAGATGAGTGCGCACAGCAGAACATTTGTGGTCGGTGCATTCAACGCATACTTGCGCAGAGTCTCCTTGAAGGCATTAATCCGGTGAATTGATATCGCGAAGAGCTTAGATGTGCATGGAGCAAATTCTGTAGGCATCGCAGGTGGTACGTTGGAGTATTCAGGGTGCAATGCGAGGACATTTTCAGACGACAGCGCTGCGATCTCTTCAAGGTCAGGCGAAAGTGCTTTTGAAACCCGTTCAATTCTACCTTTAAGCGAGCCTGAGAACTCAGACTTGGTTTCGGCAATGTTCTGGGCCCACAGTCGTACAACTTCCGAAAGTCCACTGGCATCGACAGCATTGTGATGTAAGCAGACACATAAGCCCACACCTTGATCTGCGAAACGAAAGAAGCTTGCGGCGAAAGCAGGGGCACCCGTTGCGGAGAGAGCATCATCGATCATGCTTGATACTGGCCAGACTTCGGACGGAATGGCTTCCATAGGTAATCCATGAGAAGCCAATGTCGTGTATGTTGCCGCTATAGAGCCTTTATCAACCAGGGTTGGTGTATCACCTGCATTGGAACGGATCTCAAGAGAGGCTTTGTTTTGGATAGAAGTACTCGGGAAGACTCGCCCAGAGAGCCATGGCACTTGTTTCGAAAGTCGGTCAAGACCGTGTTGGAGACTTTGCGTGACTGCTAGCGTCGAAATCGTCGTTTGAAAAACCAAAAGTACCCTGATGTAGGTTCTCGGCATAACCAAATCTAGCGGAGTCAGCTGCTCAACATACATATGGTCGGCCATGATCTCCTAGGGTCCAGAAGTAGTTGAGAAATAAGATAGAGAACAGGAACAAAGAAGCCTTTATGTTGAGGTATAAGGAGTCGAGGAAGACCTGCATCATCTCGGCCTGCCAGGGCCCACGGGCCCACGGGCCCGGGCGTCCGGCCGGCCGGCCAGTAAAGACAATCTTAGTTACTGCTTCGAGACACTTCAGGGGCACCCAAGGTCTTAACGATGCTTGTAGTCGCACCAGATAGCGTGTCGTCGCGGCCGGATTGCGATATGTGTCTCGTTGTCAGTGGTCTTCAGTTATGATGAATTAAATGTGGATATAATAAGCCCGTCGAATTTGTAACGCAAGAACTCTGCCCTAATTCTACTAGTAATTAATGTCTTTCAGAAAGAGGAGCTATGCAAGACCCCAACCCTAAATAGGAGGGCAGCCTAGGTGCCGATGAGACGTCTTAGGATATTATAGATGTGTCAAATAAAAAATTCATTCTGATCCTTTTGGCTCAACGTAGGCGGCTTGTCCCACGGAACATAGGATACCGAAGGGAAGCCACCTCCCAAATTCTGGGCCATTTTTACATAAAATAGTGCAATCTCAGTATGGGGGTCGCCTGGAAACCAATTGAAGCTGATATCGTCGCAGTCATCCGGGGCTTCTTAGTTTTGCGAGGATGTCTTCTCTTCTCAGTATGCCTAATTGCCCTGAAGAACACCTATAGTCAACCTTGCCGACGTGAGCGGGACATACCTGACAAATCCAGTATTGAGACAGTGTCCGCAGGTGTAGCAGACACATTCAAGAATATCGAATGGAGTTGACAATGTTATATCTTCGTAGCTTGTACCTCGTTAATAGCAAGTCTAGAAGCACGCCCTTCCTATCTTGGGCCCAGAGATGATTACGAATTTTAAATATCATCCATTGCCAAATTAGAATCTCTCAGTAAATCCAGGCTGCGGATAAATATAAATAGTCACATGTACTACGTGGTAGTCGTTACAGATACACCTATACCATCGAGAACAGCCCCAGACAAGCTAGATAAACAGCCACATATATATCTTGGCAGTAGGCACTTCAAGTTTGTTTTCTTGGTCCATAAATATCTTCCAATGAAACCACTAAGCGAAACTTCTTTACTTCCAACAACTTTCCGATAGACTTTCTAGGTATAATAGCAACTTATTATGAAGCGCCACTCTTTTGTCCTTGAGTGGAATCTCACGTTCTTCTTTTGGGTTTGTTCATTGAGGTCCCGGGAATAAATAGCCTTTCCCGCCCTAATTAACTAACATTTTGTCTAAGTATTAGCTTTGAGGCTCCTTTCAGAAAATGAAAAAAAGAGGGGGATAGAACATTGTAAGTAAAGAACTGTTCACTGCGAATGTATATATCATAGGAGGACTTTTTTACGAAATTTGTGGCGGACTACCAGTACTTCCCGCCGTAAAATGCGGGTAAAATTTAGGAGAAAACCGAGTTTTTGCAATACTAAGAGTAAGTTATGGGAAGTTGAACTTAAGTGATTGGAGGGTTTATCTGCTATCAAGGGTTAAGCCAATCAGCGACGAGTATGTAAAGGCGGCATGAAAGATATTTTAGGAAAAGAAATTACAGTACGTGATTATATTAATCGGGTATTATCAAATTACCGACAGGCACACGTGATTCTTGGGACCCTGATTTGAAAAGGGTTCATTTCTTCCTCCGGCGTCCAGACTGCATATACTCCTAATGTCAACCATGTGTTGTAAACTGAGCCTAGTCCAATGGCAAGACAAGTGTCGACCTGAATGGGTTAACAAAAGCAGCGCCTCGGGCGAAATGAACGCGTGATCGGGTAGGAGGCGCTGATCACACCCCGTCGCAGTCACTAATGATATTGACGATAAGGCTAAGGCGATGATGTATCAGCCACACGCGGCCCCTGCGCAATAAGATTAATTCCCATGGTTTGCTGCATGCGGGGATCCCCGAACACTGACAGCTACGCAGAATGAAAAAGTCCCTTTACTTCCACGGCAGGCGAGAGCGTCTTTCTATCGGCGTCCATGACTGACGCAGTGATCGGCTCGCTTTGCGAGCGATTTACAACTCGACTTAAAGAAAATTCTTCGTTTAACTATAACCGGCATCGGTTCTTCCGCAACGGCACCGTGAAAAAGGTTTTTGAAAGCAACCAGCAAGATTTGCGAGAACTGCTGCGAAGTCTGTGTCAGGCTAATGGCACACCCCTCACCCAAGTACCGGACCTTCTACGAAGAACGTTAACGGACCTTAGCTTGACTTTTGCAATACTTCTATTCGCCCGCGGGCGCCAGGAAAGAGATGTTGTGCGACAGTTCGTGGACCTCGCACTTGCGACAGGCGCTGACCGGTTCGCCGATACAAAACTCCCCATCCCCCTCGAGACTGCGACCTTCCGATTTCCCCTCCAAGGAGTCGAATTTTACCACAAGCAGTTTCGGTTCTGCACCGTCACGCTGATGAAACGCGAAGAAGTCGTATACGAGGAATATCGGCTCCAATGCCCACTGCCGTATCTTCAGGAGACAAAGATTGGAGAAGGCGCTTTCGGTCAGGTGTGGAAGGTACGCATCGAAGAACAGCATTTCCAGTCACGATCCGAGCGTACAGCGAATACAGAAGCACTGGAGCTTGCACGAAAAGACTTTCAGTTACGCCGAGAGGGTAGAGGGGAGCAAGAGATTTTGGACAAGATCCTGGACCAGCCACGTCGACACAAAAACATAATGGTGGCGCTGGCGAGTCTGCAATACGGACCCACGTATAGTTTGTTTTTTCCACTCGCGTCCTGCAATTTATGGCAATACTTGAACGGAGTTTACTCCGAAGATCGATTTCCTCCGTCTACGTGGGAAGAAAAGAAGGACATCTACTCGCGTGGGGTGACGTTAGCCGGAGCACTGGCGTTTCTTCACCATGAATTTCGGAACCAAAAGTTGGAGGTATTTTCATGCTACCATCTTGATCTCAAGCCACATAATATACTGGTCTTCGATGCATATGGCCCGTCCGAGACATGGAAAATCACGGATTTCGGACTATCCCGGGTTAAGGGTCGAGGGCTAGATGGCGAAGCTGATGTGGAGCTCGTAATGCCTATCATAGGAAGAGGCCATGGGAGACAAAGGCATATCCAGGAGCCGTCGACGTTAAATCGAAGAGGGGAAGGTACTTACCTTGCTCCTGAATGCTCATTGCCTAGTGGCCGGGTCAGCTCCGCGAGCGATGTTTGGTCGTTTGGGTGCATCATCAGTTTGGTGATGTCATATATTGATTCAGGATATAGCGGCGTGGTGGCATTTGCGAGACAACGGCGCAGACAGGACCATGGGGACAAGTTTTACACAATTCGACATGGGAAGCCAAAGCTTTCACCGGTAGTCATTGCTTGGTACGAGAAGCTAAAGCACAGAGCGCGAGCAAGTTCGTTTGCGATGGAGCACGAGGTCGTATCACGAACACTCGACTTTTTGCAGAAATATGTACTGCACCCTATTCGCGATCAACGCGTTAGTTCCAGAGAGGTGGAGGATACGCTAGCATCAATAAGTGGTGTATTTCATCGACGACCATCGGAAACGCGGAGCAGGTGGCGGCTGCGACGACCTTCCTTCTCATCAGCATATACTCCTAGCTACGAGAAACTCCATATCGAGACAAGTGTACCCATTCTTGGAACCGCATTTGCACCGGGCGGCGATCTTTTGTTGTTTCAGTCTCAGCAGAAAGTCCAGGTATTTTTCCTCGACGAAATCCTGTCCGCTGTAGAGCAGCTCCCGAAACCGCGGGTGATAAATATTCCTAGGGCATCATTAGAATGCGTTGCAAGTAGCTCAGGGTTTATCTGTGTCTGCCTCGCTAGGGCATGCTTCGAGGTACTTTATCATTTCTCAATATCAATAGTGTGGGGTCGCGACAACTAACTACTTAGTGCGTCTTTTACGAAACCACCACCTCATCCGAGTCGCAAGGAAATAGTATTTTGCAGGGCTCAAGAGTCTACTATCCACACATGGGCTCTATCAAGAATGTTGCCATGTCCGCTGATGGGCTTCTGACAGCATTCGTCATCGTACGAACCCCCGGAGGCTCTGATTCAGACGCCCTCTTATACCTTTCAACCACGCAGGATCTCTTGAACAATGCAAGCGAAGGGTAAGCCCAACCACTACTTGAAGAAAAGGCCATAGACTAATCCAAAGCAGAAATAGCTCGGCTCCATCGAGCCGATCGAACTCAGCGGCATCCTACCAAGACTCTGATAGCATGACTAGTGGTGGAAATATCATCTCACAGGACTCCATGATTGGCCCAGCGACACATATCCGCTCATTAAGTTTCTCCAACGATAATCACTACCTTATCATGGTTTCCCAGGTGGATCCTGTACATCTTTTGGTTCGCGCGTGGGACACATACAGCGGTATTTGCTGCGGAAATCTGAAAATAGGGTTTCAGGTATGTCTATGTTTGTCGCCCTCCACTTTTTATGTAAGCCCTATGAGGCTAATTGTCAAAATCCCACATACACAGGGGCCAGCTTCTGTGGATGAACCTCTCTATACTGCATGTTCTGTCTTCAACCGCGAACCACGGTTATTTATACTTTGTCAACGCAAATACCTCCTTCACCTCAGCTCTTGGCGTTGGGACCGTCAGGTCCATACACTACCTAACCAGGCGGTCAACATGTTTGTACGTGATGACGACGAGACCTTGATCATACTAGGTGATAATGGGAGCGATCGACGGCTTCGCACCTATATCTTGCCAATTCCCATCTCGGGCAACCCCGAACCAGCGAAAGTAGCGCTCAGCAACCTGAATCAGTATCGGCCGGCCCTAGATAGCGCTGTACTGACACGCACAACAAGAGGACAGATTCTGTTGGTAGTGGCCACTTCGAGGGGCGAATTCCTTGCTGTAAAGCTTCCAGACGGAACATGAGATCGGTTCTCATACACAGTATTGTACTTCTATATGCTAAACGATGTATCGTTTCCAACGATGAAATAATGAAATAACGCCACGCTTGTGTTTCACATCAAATGCACGCCAACAATATCTAATCTAGTGACTGGATAACGCCCTATGCTAGCAATTCAACCTTCCCCTTCGCATGCTTCGGGTGACGTTTGCTCCGCACCCACCAATATAGCACTGTCACGGCCGTTAGGGGCACAGCGCACACGACGAATATCCAAAACTGCGGAGATACAATGAGCTTGTGGGTTTCAGGGTCCATCTCAAAGAATGAGTTCATTCCGAGGAGTGTCTGTGTATTAAGGAATTGTGTCAGTGATACAGCTATGTTCCAAAACGAGTGGGTCTGCGGCAAGGGCAAGCATACTGCCATGAAAGTGGATGGAAGATAAATGAGCGTTACAACAGTGATAACGCGGACAGTTGATGAATCGTCAACTGTGGATGAAGTGAGGTCCAACATATAGTCGGATTGCTCCTGTGCTGTATGAGAATTCTTGAACGAGAAGGTGTCTGCAATGAGCTGGGCCATGGTTGCCGCCCGACTTTGAAGGAATGATGCGGCCTGCAAGTAGGCGTCGGCATGGCTTTCATAGTTATCGAGCAGCTGATCCATTTTGTGCCACGGTAGATGCTGCACACTACCGCAATCCCTTAATGCATTGTTGGCTTTATGCAAGATCAGTAGTGTCTTGTCAAAGGAGCGAAAGAGAGCTTGCAGCGGGAGACACCGGGATTCCACGGAGCGAATGGAGGTCAGCATATGATGGTTGACCCTGAGGGGGTCTTGGATGCGTTCTGTCATAGTCGTGTTAGACTAAGCGAGTTGGTTAGCTTGATAGGTGGTCATTCGCAGTGTTCTTGACATACGACCGTCAAAACTGTGGCCTCATGTGAGCCTATATATTCCCTCCAGGTCGGAAAAAATGTAGCAAAGAGAAGATTATGAATTAGAAGTGGATGCGACATCAACTGCGAGCACTGGAACGGAGACATAAGGATCTCCATCAGCCGCTGCTGGAAGAGGCAGTCTTTGGTTGGATTCAAGAATATCCATGTGGAATGATTCCTTGCAGTGTCATATTTTTGATAGACACCCGTTTGGCGCACAGTCCAGGAATCGGGCTTGTCATTGTTGCTCTTTTGAAAGGCATACTTTAATATATACGCGACCTCTAATGTATGGGCATTAATCGCTATGATACTGGGGCAGGATCTCATAGTAGTCATGGTGGACTCACCTATACATTGCTCGTTCCAAATAAACGTGGGTGCACTGCTAAAGGCCGCTTCGGTAGCCATAAACTTGTCGTGGAAAGAAAGTGATAGATTATGCAGCACATGTGAAGATCGAGTTAATTTTCCTACTTCCTCGAACATCTCCTTGGTAACATTTAAGGGTCTCCATGAGTTCACTTGATTGATAGATCTACGACCTCATTAGAAATCCGGTGACTTAATGTTGCTTGTATGTTGGATGACCTACATAAAGCGCAGTCCGTTCGGCTCTGTGGAAGCGCTCTTTTGATGTGCTTGTAATTCGCCCAATGAGGTGAATGTGCTTCTGGTTACTACTCAACGAGAGTCAGCCTAACGTCAACTCTCAGGGTAACCTAGGTACACAAACCGCGGTGTTCTGAATCGCTATCCGTCCAGTCGACTTGGACTTTCGATTCATCTTCCTGAAAACATTTGCGAGAGCTTGCTACTTGGCAACGATCATCCTGGTAGGGCACCAAACTGAAAGGATCGTATAGGTGGGGTAAAGAGCTTTTGACATCTTGGGTATATGCAATCATAGTGAGGTCTAAACAATTAGATATGACGATATAATAGTAGCAACAAAACCAAAGTAATATTCACTTGACTCTTTCAGGCTAACAAGGCCTGGAGTACGGTGCTTATATTATGCTACACACTGTCACGAAATAACACAGGTGCTAGAATAAAATTCAGCAAACACGATGGCCAAGCGCCCTGCGCCGCCAATCCTTTCTCAAAGAAGACCAAGCGCTTTCTTCCAGAAGTCTTACTCCCACCAGCCATTGCCACCTCAGCCTGACCACTCAGAGTGAGCATCGTCAATCAGACGCTTCTCTAAAACAGGTAACGTGTAATCAGTCAGCTACTTAGCACAGCCTCAGGCTCATTTCGCAGATCGGAGAACGCCTACCTGAGTTCCTGCTGTTGTTGTTGTTGTCAGCCACAGACCCAACGGAAAAGGTTCAAAGAAAGTGGAACTGGAACTTACACGGGTCACCTCTCGTGGTGCATCAAACGACCAGATTTCGTCATCGAGCTTTACCAAACTTAAGGTTACCAGATATATCCTCCTTGAACCCCTGGGAATTTCTTACTCGAATGTGGAAGTTCAGCCCTGGGTGATCGGGGAATAGTCGCTCTAGCAGGGCTTGGAGCTTTTCTCGCCGTAGATAATTGCTAGCCGCGTCTTGTCGCCGTGTCCTTGGTTGAGGCGTGGGATTCGATGTACTCGCTTGAGGGAAGGTAGGTGTCCAGGAGAGTCTCTTGAACATCATCGGTCTACTATTGTTGGAAGTACGATCAACCAAGGGTAGTAATACGTTCACAGGATGCTTAAGCGTGTTTAGAGTGGGATGTGACGAAGAAGTCAGAATCGCGAGAATTTGGCTGGGTTCACAGCATCCCGTGTGGTATACGAGGCTAAGGGCAGATTTAATGCTGGGTGACAGCCTTGGGGCTCTGCCGAGTGGTACAGAGGGTAATAATTTCCAAGAAAGATTTTGGTTTGCTGTGGTCAAAACGTCATCTCGGTTCTGATCGGGATAGGAGGATATTTGCCATTGAAGCAGTGTTGTGGTTGGTGGCCTTTTGACACTTGACAGTTGTATCTTTCTGCACGGTTTCTCTAGTCCAACCAATCTTTCCGAGGCTTATCAGCACCCCCACAAAATTGTGCTTCTCAGCCTCGTGCTCAAGGGTTTCCCCTCATGCCCTCGTATTTGACTCTCCGTAGCGTTGAACTATAATGTTAGCAGCACCAGCCCTCGTGCATGATCTCTCAAGTTGACCCTGTAGTCCCTGTGGTTTGTGTCGCTCTCTTTTTCATGGTTTAGCCGCTTTATTCTCCTATCTTCATCATGCCACTTGCGACGAAAGGCTGAGCTTGCGACAACATGCCTCCTCACGGCAGTGCAGATCACGATGGGCTGGATATGAGTCAAATTGATTGGCTTCCGCAAATGCTTACCGTACCTTCACTCGGGACATCACCAGGGACATCGGAGCCACGACGATCGGAAACACATCTACAACCTTCACTAAGCTCAATCTCATTCAGACAACCGGAAAGTGTAACAGTAGTGGTGGATCCACGCGATGGCGCAGGGTCCGATCAAGTATTCCTAGATGAGAAGGATCGGACTGTAAAGTAAGGGGTGACCGAAATACGGGATTGATGTGCATGTTCAGACAATTATTGGCTAACCTTGCTGCCACGTTCTAGTCGGCGATTGCGCGGAATCCATGTGTTTGTGAGTAATTGGCTGCAAACTTGAAATAACCTTACTGACTGATTGTGCTTTCATCTAGATGATCACGATTAGCGGTGTCCTCGGCGTGGGGCTTTATCTTCGAAGTGGATCTATATTGCGAATCGGTGGGCCGGCAGCTGTCTTAATATCGTTCTCAGCCATGGGCCTGCTAGCCTGGTTGGTCATGCAATGTGTCGGAGAGTTCCTCGCGATATGGCCTGTGGCTGGAGCGCTTGTGGAGTTCGTCGGGACATTTGTTGATGAAGACCTGGGCACTACAGTCGGTATTGCATATTGGTGGGTCTCATTGACCGGGCGGAGTAAGGCTGTTTCGCAAAATGTGTTTGCTAACGGCAGTTCTATAGGATATCTTACTGTCTGAACTTTGCTGCTATGATTGTGGCTGCTGCGGGTGAGGTTGAATTCTGGAACACAAGCAAGGCAATACAGGGCACTGTGATCCTGTTCATAGTGCCATTGTTCCTAGTTCTTCTTAATAGCTTCGGCGTACAGGTATGCCTCACAGTCCCCTACACACTAAATATTAATAACCATTGGGCTTAGATTTATGGTTTTACAGAAGTAATCGGGGGTTCAGTAAAGATCCTCGGGGCCATTGTTGTTACTGTGGCAATGATCGTGATCAACGTTGGAGGTAAGAGCACGTGTACCGAGGATACCCTATTTCTGACAGCATACAGGTGGAAGCGAAGGGCACATTGGCACTAGATGTAAGATCTTCCGACCGCACCTTCTCTTTGTTTCAAGTTCTCACTCGCTTTCAGACTACCGTGACTCATCTATATTTCAGTTCGATGATAGAGCGGCGGGAAACTGGGTGACTGCATTGTTGTACGGTGCCCCTTTACTCCAAAACATGATTACTAGGGGATAATAATAGTATATAGCATCTCCTTTTCCATTGCCGCTTTCTCCTTTGTAGGTGTCGACATTGCAGCCGCAACAGCGCTCGAGGCACGTCCCGACAAAAAGCGAATTTCGGCAGAGGACCCTTTGAATGAAGAATTGAAACAACCGTGGCCATTCATCTCCATCCGCTTCTCCGCGACTTGGACGAGTTTCATTGCGTGGATCGCTTACTTTGTCGCGGGGTTTGTGATGACCCTGAACTTGCCTTGGGACTCTGATCAATTACCCGAGGCTGGATGGCTGGGCCACCCCGGTCCAAAATCCGACAGACCAAGTGATTCGGGCTTTGTTATTAGCGCGAAGAAATCTGGAATCAACGGGCTAGCGGACCTCTTTAATGTCATTCTACTGTTCACTGCCCTTACCTGCGCCAATACTAATCTATATGTGGCGTCCCGCACACTCTTTGGTTTGACACGAAAGATATACGGAAAGCAGTGGCGGTGGCTGGCATTCTTCGGCAAGACAAACAGCTACCAAGTTCCAGTGAGGGCCATGTTTCTCTCGTGCTGCTTCCTATGGGTGCCCTTCTTATATCTGTCGCCGAATAATGCGAAGGGTACCACTATCGCTAGTGTAAGCAAACTGTGACCGAAAATATGGATCTTCGGCAAGGAATGTATGCTAACATGGCTGCCAGCTTCTTGAAGTTTTATCCCAACTAGGGTCTGTAAGCTGTTTGATTGTCTGGGCTTGTGAATGTTGGGCTTTTATTCGCTTCTATAATTGGTGAGCTATTCTCAGCATAGGCGTTCCCTTTGCTTGTCTCCCCACCATGCTTAATCACTTTCAATTACCGTATCTCTTCCCTGTTTGAATACCACTCAGTACTAACAATGTATAGCATGAAGGTGCATCAAGTCGAGCTCCATAATTCCCCCGAATTCGCACATGTCTGCCGTTTCCGTCGTCCCAATGCCCCAGACTATTATCCATGGCGCTCCCACGGCCAACCGGTAACAATGTACCTCGCCTTAGGGGGTTGTCTGTTTACTCTCATTGTTGCTGACGGAGCGGCATTGTGGAATGGCTTCCATGCATCCCTATTCCTATCAGCCTATTTAGCGGTATGTACATGCAAAACACGTGATGTCATTGGATCTCCATAGAGCCTTCGATTCTGACAAAAGTGATCACAGCCTCTATGTTTTCTGCCCTTATGGTTTATAATCAAAGCCTATCGCTCTGGAGGCTGGCAAAACATTCGATGGGAGCTCGAAGATCTGTCTAACATCATTGAGGTGAAGGAGAAGATTCGAAAGTTGGACGAGCTTAAAGACCGTGCAACGGCCAGAGATAGTACTCCGCAGAAGCCTGGATGGGGAAATCTCTGGGGCGTAATCTGAGGCTTTCCGTACAGCTAGGTGAGCCTGGGACCCAGACGAGTTGTGTACCTTCACGACTCGATACCTATGGTTAATTGTTGGACATTTTATGGCTCATGTATATTCGGGGCGAGCCTTTAAGGTCGACCATGATATGTAATCTAATAATTTCTGTATTAAATATAATAAAGCTTCCCACGAGTATTTCAACGAGATACATTGCCTTTATCCTTCACCTCCTGAGGTGAGCAGAAAAGACTATATTACCCAAGATTATGTTCTCCTGTGGGAGGAAGTGACGTTCGGTGTTTGGAAGAACAAGCTGAACAGGAAGCTCGGAATTGTCAATGTCCTTGGTTAAGGATGTTAATGGAGCTACAAGGCCGTCAGATACCCACTACTGTAGCTGTTTCTTGGGTTATAATATCTGGTCCGGTGCATTGGTAATTTAACCAGCTCATGGTGCTCTTTCCCCGTCTACAGCTTGAGTGGCTGGTTGTGGTCCGTTGATGAAGAGATCGATATTTCAGGTTATTATATATTTTTACGCGTGAGATTGCTCGTTGAGCGTTGAATTGATAGGCACTTTGTACATATGCCGGTTGATAGAATATGTGAGACATGTTGTAGACTAGACCAGTGCTCGGAACCTCTCCATATATGATCACGCTCCAACCCGTGTACGGTCTCCAACATGGGAAACAAAGAGTTTTCTCTCCTCCACCGGTATTCAAAATTGGACCGTTGCCGATACACTAGAGCTTAATACCGAGCGTACGAAAGCCACAGATAGGCATAAAGACACAGCAAGGGCATCAATATTTTGAAGCCCTCGTATATTGAACAATGAGCCTTTCGTCATTTGAGGTCAACCCCTTATCCTTGTGATACATCCAATTTTACCTCTTTAACTATTCATCTGGTGATGCATTCACAAGGCCCAAATGCTCCTTATCACTGGTTTCTTCTACTTGATTTTAGCAGTGCTTGGACGAGTTCTCTTACAATGTCATTACAAGCTAATGAATGACCTGTCGAACCCTCTGAACTGTCGATTGGATGACACATGCCTATCATCTGGCAGTATAGATATTCAATCCCTCCATTGCGGACCGTGTCTAAAGGACTATGTGCGTGAAAGCTGATATTGGGGTCATCTGGGTGAGAGGAGTGGTTGCCGGCTGGGCACTGAGGGAAGAGGTTGGCCCATACTTTGGTGCTGTTGAAAGCTGAGGTTACGGCAAATACACAGGAAGATGACGTAGGGTGTCAGTCTAAGCAGATATGAAAGACCAGCTCCTTCCATTTTAACTAATGGCAAACTGAGGCCACCGGGTTGCCGGGCTGCTGCCTAGTGAATATGACAAAGAAGATTCAAAGTATACATCACGGTTATCCCGCGACAAATATTCCTTTGTCAACTGACAACACCACAACAGAGGCGAGATTCTCACACCCCTTTCTCGCATCGTTAATCAGACCCTACCAGCATTAAGCTTCTCCTGATGCGATCTAACCCCACTAGGAAGATGGAAACCTTGAACGAAGCCGTGTCTGCGGGCGATCTTATCCTCCTATACGCCCCAGGGCATACACCCTGCATGCTCCTTGTTGAATCATCCCCTGACAGCCATATCTCGAATCCCAAAACATCCTCCATCACTGTGCAAAAAGTGAAGGTGCACTATCGTCTCAAACCAGGATATTGCATAGTATCCGGTCCAGACGTCTATTATAACGAGGAGGAAGACGAAGATGCATCGGGGGATGACACTTCCACTGAAGCAGGCTGTGATATTTCAAGCCGCCCACTCAGTGCGTATGTGACTGACTTCCCTGCTGAATCTGAGGTTGAATACCGCGTGAACCCCCATGGACGGTATGCTAACCTGTTCTATGCTATGTTCCTCCCCCTGAGAAAATTGGCAGCATCCTAATCGTTTTGGCATAGGGATGTTCTGCGGTACTACTGGGGTGGTCATTGCCCGTTTTGCTATATGAATGGTTGGTACTGTCCCGGCTGTGGTCCTGCCATGCAGTTTCCGGACCTCTTTGGTGGGTGCGGTGTGGATCAGTCTTGCCCCGTGTGCTATGGGTACGATTTTGCTATGAACGATAAAGTCATGTTGAGAAAGGTAGAAGAGTACGAATCCAGGCTATGGCGCACCAAGTCCGAATCTAAGGAGTACCGTGCAGAATTGAGACAGGAGATTCTCGCGATGGTACGGGAGCGATATGCGCTCATCGATGCCCGGAGGCAGGTGATGGGTTTTAGTCGTTATGATGTCAATCACATAGTGGAAAATTGGTTTAAGGACGATGACGAATGAGACTATGGCTATGTGCACTTTTGCTTTGTAGTACGTCTACCCTACTGAAACATAACAATGCTTTGAGTGGATGATCATTCTGGCATGGTTACAACAAGGGCATGATGTACATACTTGTGCTGCTTTGAGGTTTATGATGACATATAAAGAAATGGGATTTGCTACATTCTGTTCTATTCTACGATTCAATGTCAAAGTGAAAATATGCGATAGTACACCCATTAGACCCCATAAGCCCGGCATGGTGGAGTTCTCGGCCCGTCACATCGGCCTCATACAACACTGAAGAATCAACACTGTCCAGTACGCTACCATTTCAGCCTCATACTATGGGTAATTGTGGATTCAGATGCATCGGATCAAGAGTATACGATCGCGACCGACATTCCATTTTGGAAAAAAAGACACTAGAGTCAACAGACATTCGTGAACAAGGAGAACCTGCCGCACCGCTCACCGAAGATATCCGTAAAAAGTGCCAAGAAAATCACCGACGAGTTTTGAATGATAATTCCTTGGTCACAGCACACGAATCCACCAGTCACACGTGTACCTGGTGATCCTCAGCTGATCTATCGGGCATACTCAAATCGTGCAGCTGCATTTATTGCCTTTTAGCGCGGCTATCTTGCATATTGGATCTCCTGCCCGCACGACGATCTGCCAATCGGTCGATCCCAACGGCGCCCGCAGCTGCAGCACCACGAACACGTAAATGAGCCTCGACAGACCCCCTGGCGTAGTATGCTGCACTAGCTGGTTGTTTTCATTGTGTTTATGTTTATGAGGCTTGCGATGACGAGGCCTCGTGATACCGCCATCCTTGACCGCTGTGATTGGGAGGTTGTATTTCTAGGGGGAACGTTTCCTCGATCGCTGGTAGGATGTTAACATTGTCTTTCACCAATGGCGTGGAGTACATCTTTAGTAGCCTTGGGCCTTCTGGCTCTTCTTGGGCAGAGTAATGGTCGTGAACAATGTAAATGCGTGAGTTCGCTTCCAATTGCTCTGGATTGAGCTTTGTTAACTTGTTGCTTTTGATAGGCACCGAATGAAGATTGCTGGCCTACGTTAACCGATTGGGCCGAGTTGAACGATGCCGTCTTGGGAAAGCTGATCCGAAACACACCCGTTGCCGAACCTTGTTACCATGGAGAGGATGATGACCAGAAGCTGTGTGAAACTATTGTTGACCAATGGTCGAATTCCACCTTCCAATCTCTTCAGCCGACCGGATATTGCTATCCTCTTGACTACGCCTGTCCGGTCCTTTCAGCACCGACAGGAACACCACAGGGTGAATGTGACCTTGGTCCAGCGCCAGTGTATACCATAAATGCCACAGAACCAGAAGATGTGGCGGAAGGAATTCAATTTGCGAAGACGCATAACCTGAGAGTCGTAATAAAGAATACCGGTCACGACCTCCTTGCAAGGTCTGTCTCTTAGTAATCTTCGATACGAAAGACTGACTGCTGACTCTCGAGCAAACAGATCCCAAGGATATGGCAGTTTGCAGATATGGCTGAAGTATATCCAAGAGGGTATTGAATACCATGAAGAATACCAGCCCCCCGGCCAATGCGGATACTCCAACTGGACAGGAAGCGCCTTCACTGTCCGAGGAGGCTACCTCTGGGGTGATCTCTACGCTGCTGCTTTCCAGCGAGATTTGATAGTCGTCGGTGGCCAGGATCCAGTAAGTGAATCATATGTCAGTGGAAGATACGATAGCTAACGTACTATGGAAAGACGGTCGGTGTCCTCGGCGGTTATCTACAGGGTGGAGGGCACTCTCCCGCCAGTCGTGACTTTGGTCTTGCTGTTGACCAAGTCCTAGAGCTAAAGGTTATCCTCGCATCTGGTGAGCTCGTAACGGCGAATGCCTGTGAGAACAGAGATTTATTCTTCGCTCTGCGTGGGGGTGGCGGCGGAACATACGGAGTAGTAGTTTCAGCTACACTGAAGGCGCATCCGTCGCGTCCAGCCATTACGCATACTCTCGTTGTATATCCATTACCCAACCGCAAAGATCCATTAGCTGCTACTATGGCACTCATCGACGCGGTAGCGGAAATTCTTTCTGTATATCCCGCCTTATCTGACGGCGGCTTTTCAGGGTATGGCGGATGGGGTGTTGATAAAGTAGATTCTCCTATCGCCGGAGCACCAGTACCAGTCATGGAAAATGGAGGGTACGCTCATGCCTTCGCGAAGCTGGATAACAGCGAGGAAGGATTGGAAGAAGCACAAAGATTCGTATCGGCCACTCTTATGCAACGGTTACGGAAATACAATGGCTCTGGACTCATGATCTCGGAGAGCTGGGAGCGTTATTCGTCATTCGGGGACTATTACACCGCAGCGACGAGAGCTCAGCAACATGTCGGATTTAGTAAGATGACGCTCACATCACGGCTTCTTGATAAGTCGTCTCTCACGGGTGACCCGGCGCAACTCAAAGAGATGCTACGCATCACCTCAACAAATGCCCCCGATGTTCCGGAAAAGGCAACCATATGGACTATGCTTTTCCTCGTCGGAGGAGGAAAGGTCCTTGATAACCCAACCGACCCTTCCGCTCATCGCTACGTTGGAGTCCACCCCGCGTGGCGGAAAGCGTATCTTCTTGCTGTCCCAACGTCCATATTGCCCGAAGATGCAGAGGACAGGTCCCTTCAGAAGATGCAGCATGACACCACATATAGAAAGGCTGACGCAATGAGAGTGTTAGCCCCGGATATGGGCAGTTACCTCAATGATGGAGACAGACACAACCCCTGGTGGCAGACTGACTTTTTCGGTGACAATTATCCACGGCTTAGGGCTATAAAGGACGAATACGACCCGGATCATCTGTTCTACTGCCCTACCTGCGTTGGGAGTGAAGAGTGGAGGGAGGTTCCGGTGGAGGGTAAGGCGTATGGACCTTTGTGTCGGGCTTCAAGATGGTGAACCTTTTATGTGTACATTGTACCCGCGGGGAGCTGTTGCTGGAGCGTCGGGTGTGGAAATTGTATATCTCGTTGTACTATGTGAGTTAGACGTCGGTAACGAGCCTAGTATATAAGTGTAGTTCCTTCCCGACAAATGAAATACCATCAACATTGAGTACAATTTTCGGACTTAAAATAAATAGGCCATTAAACTCTAGGCTCCTCAATTCTTAGTCTCAATTATCCTCGAAGTGGCTGGCAATTTGTGGATACGATTGACGCAAAACATGGCAGAAATGATCATCATATTGGTAACTCGACATCTAGGCCTTATGGTGGGGCCGCCACGATGCAATATTTGGAAAGGCTACGGTCCTGGCAAGAGGTAATGTAGTTGAGGAAACTGTATTATGATATAAAAATGCAGAGAGGATGAAGATGCATGCAGATGTTATAGAAGGCGGTCTGAGAGCTTTCCCAAAAGGGGTTGCGTCACGGGTTCTTGTTTTCTACATCTGGGGGGCTGGGAATACCCTTCTCTCTTTGATAGTGATCATCAGTGGGAATTATCATGGAAATACCCTCGGGGGAGTATTGGTAAAGTAGAGAGAGCGTGAAACTCTAGTATTAGGAACAACTTCTACAATTGAACCGCTGTGTCAAGAATAGAGTAATGTACAAGGTGGGTCAAAAGTCTGAAGACACTAGCGCGTTTCCGCAATATATCAAAAAATCGCAACTTTTTCAACTATCTATAATTCTATCAAAATAAGGTCTTTTGGAACCGAAATTAGTAGAAATCAAAGACCTAATTCTAAGCTTTCTAATAAGAACTGTACAGCTATTATATCTACCCTAGAAAACCAGATATTACCGACTCAATTAGCTAAGCAGTTTGGTGTCAGTCACAGTATAATTTATTCAATAAAAAAGTATTTTCTATACAACCACACCTTGTAATTATTTCCTTGAAAGGGAAGACCTACAAAATTTAGCTATTCTACTAAACACTATATATATTTTTTAGTATATAGGATATCTAGACTAAGCTACAGAGCTCTCTATACAGATAGTAATTCTGGGATCTCTACCTCTACAGTTAAGCAGATTTTAAAGACTTTTTACTTAAAAAAGTAAAAAAATAAGAAACAAATTACTTTAACCTCTAAAATAGCAAAAAAACAGCTTAAATTCATATATATGTGGTTGAATTATACTAATTAGAAAAATATATAGTTTTCTGATAAATATTTGGTACAGAGAAAGTTTAATTTCTCTACTTAATATATCTTTCGTTTCTTAAACAAGACCTATAGACACAATCTAGTAAATCTAATAAATTATAGAAAAGATATATTTCAGATAATATAGGGTTCTATATAACTAGATAATCAGTCAGATTTAGACTGGTGTTTGGCCAGGTTAGGTTAGGTTAATGGGGTCAGTTATACCTAACCGCTAGGTTATGGCTAGGTTAATAGAATTTTTATACCTAACCATAGTTAAGCTAAAAATTGGACAGTTAATCTAGATTAACTATACTTAGTGCCAAGACTGTTAATTCTTATCTAGTATAGTAGACAGTAAGCTAAATTAACTATAATTAATTTAGAATTAATCTAACTGTCTTAACTGACTATAAAAATACTTTATTAACAGTATTAAAAGATTCTGTTTATTAATTATATATAGAAAGAAAGTATATTTTTAATTAAAAATTCTATTAAAATTATTATTTTCTATAGTTAAAACAGTATTTTGACTAATTTTAGTTTGGAGTAGCTGTATATAGGGAATATATAGTAGAAATATATATAAATATAACCGATGTTTTATTATATAATAATATTATAGTCTTGTATCTCTATAACTAATAGATATTTTT